AATTTAAAATAATTAATAGATATGTATTTATTGCCATTTTGTTAATTGTTTTCTGGCTATTTTCATAGTTCCTCTCTGTCCATTTCTTTTTCTCCTCCTATCTTCCTTTGTGGTTTGATGGTTTTCTTTAGTGTTATGTTTAGATTCTTTTCTCACTTTCTCTTAGCTATTTACCATAAATTTTTGCTTTGTGGTTACCATGAGGTTCACATATGACATCCTACGTATGTAACAATCTATCTTAAGTTGATAACAACTTAAACTTGAGCGAATTCCAAACCTTTGCATTTGTACTCCCTTCCTCCTGTGTTTCATATTTTGATGTCACCTTTTATATCTTTTTATGTTATGCATTTCTTAACTAACTATTGTACTTTTAGTTCATTTTATTACTTTTATCTTTTAACCTTCATACTTGCTTTATAAGTGATTCATTCACTATCTTTACTACATATTTACTTTTTCCAGAGATTTGCACTTTCATGTATTTTCTTCTTACCAACTAGTGCTATTTCTTTCCAGCTAAAAGAAGTCCCTTTAATATCTCTTTTAAGGCTGTTTAGTGCTGCTGAACTAGTTAGTTTTTACTCATCTGGAAAACTCTTAATCTCTCCTTCAACTCTGAATGATGACCTTGCCGGATAAAGAATTCCTGGTTGGAAGTTTTTTCCTTTCAGCACTTTGAACATGTCACACCACTCTCTTCTGGCCGGCAAAGTTTCTGCTGAAAAATCAGCTGACAACCTCATGGGGTTTCCCTTGTATGTAATAAGTTGTTCTTCTCTTGTTGCTTTTTAAGAGTCTCTCTTTACCTTAACTTTTATCATTTTAATTATAATGTGTATTGGTGTGGGTCTCTTTGTGTTCATCTTATAAAGAACTCTCTGGGCTTCCTGGACCTGGATGTCTGCTTTCTTCCCCAGATTAGGGAAGTTTTCAGACACTATTTCTTCAAAAAATGACTCTCTCCTTTCTTTCTCTCTCTCTTCTTGTTCTGAGACCCCTATGATTCAAATTCTATTTCACTTGATATCCCAAAGGTCCCTTACGCCATCTTCACGTTTTTAAATTCTTCTTTTTGATGTTCTGAGTTCCACGTGTTCCACAGCCCACTGATCCATTCTTCTGCTTCACCCAGCATGCTGTTGATGAACCCCGATACTTATTTTTCGGTTCAGTTATTGTATTCCTAGCTTTGTAATTTCTGTTTGGAACTTTCTTATATTTTATGTCTCTTTGTTGAAGATCTCACTAGGTTCATCCATTCTTCTCCCATGTTCGGTGAGCATCTTTATGACCATTACTTTCAACTCTTTATCAAGTGGATTGCTTATCTTCATTTCATCAATATCTTTTTCTGAAGTTTTGCCTTGTTCTTTCATTTGGAGCATGTTCCTTTGTCTCCTCATTTTGTCTGACTTTCCATGTTTGTTTCTATATATTGATAAATCAGGTACCTCTTAGTCTTAAAAGAGTAACCTTATGCAGGAGATGCCACATGGGGCCCAGAGGCACAATCCCCACTGGCTCCAAGAGCTAGGTACTCAAGAAATGTTCCCTGTGTGGGCTGTGTGTGCCTGCCTCTTGTGGCAGGGCTGCAACTGTGGTGCACAAATATGCAAGACTCTCTCTTTTGACTGAGATGCTGCATGTAGTTGGACCAGGCTGCAGCACACTGGGGCAGGGCACTCAGCCAGTCCTTCTGGAGCTAGGTGGGCCTCTGTGGCAATGGTGCATGGAGGTGAGGTCCTTCCACCAGAACTAGCAGGCTAGAAGGAGGGTATGAAATGGTGCCCTCTAGCACCAGCGCCAGTGAGTCAGAAGAACACAAAGATGGTGTTCACCAATCTTTGTCCCTGGAGAGAGTCTCAACAGGTTCCTGCCTCTCCAGCAGACGCTTTAATATAGGAAAATGAGTCTCCATCACCTATGGTCTAGGCACTTTTCAAACTATTGCTTTTGCACTGGGTTTTAAGGCAAGTGAGTCAGTGCACCAGCCCATTAAGAGTGGATTTTCCATTTCCTGTAGCCTGATGGTTCTCCTGGATGTAAGCCCCATTGGTTTTCAAGGTCAGATGGTTTGGAGCCTGTCTCTCTGGTGCAGGTCCCAAGGGTTGGGGTGCCTGAGGTTGGGTACAAACCCCTCCCTCTTCAGGGATGTGTTTCCTGTTATGAGACCCCTCCCAACTATGAGTCACAGTACCAGGATTAGGGCTTCAGGAGAGGCTGAGTCTCCCTTTCTCTTATCGATCTCAACATGGTCCTTCTTATCCTTTGTTGTGGATGTGCTCTTTAGTTAGCTTTCAAATCCTTTTCTGAGGGAATTGTTCCATGTGTAGCTGTAGATTCATTGTGTCTGTGGGAGAAGGTGAGCTCAGAACCCTTCTATGCCACCATCTTGAACTGGAAAACCTCTTGATCACTTTTTGATTGATTCACGTTTTTCATGCCATTTATTTTTCCTCTGTAGTTCAGATGTTACACACTCAAATTCTGTTCTTTCAGTGTGTACTGCCAAATTTATATAATTTGTACTTATAAAAGTTGAAAAGTGATCAGTGATTTTATCTTCCTCTTGGACATCACCTCAAACAATCCACACTTCTAAAATAAATACTAGTATAACATATTTTATCTCTTTTTTAATCTAAAGTGTTATTTTAAAATTTTTATTCAGATTATGAAAGTTTTAATTTATGATTTTCCAGGATCATTCTTTTATTTTGGACTATCTTTTAATTTCCTGAAATTGCTTTCAATCTGTTTAAATTGTTTAGAACTTTCTTTCAATGATGAGATGATATGATGAACATTTTCAGTTTTTGTCTAAAATTCTCCATGCTGCCCTCATTCTAGAAGGATAATTTTTCTGTATGTAAAATCTAAGTTGACTGTTAGATTTAGATTTAGATTTTAATGTGCTGATTTTTAATGCTGGCTACTTACATAATGTAGTGTATCAAAACATATAAACTAAAACTGGCAGAAGTACAAACAGAAACACAAAAATTACATTAAGAGTGAGAGATTTTGATACTTTGTACTCTCAATAATGCTGCTCTCAGTAATTGATAGAAGACAAAAATTTACCAATAATACAGATTTAAATTAAAAAGTCTGACAGAACACTACAGTCACTACTCACAGAACACATCTTTTAATGCATGTATAAAACATATTTCTAAATAAACTCTTTTTAGAACGTTTTTAGATTTACAGAAAATTTGCAAAGATAATAATGAGTTTTTAAATACTCTGTACCCAGTTTCCCCTATTAGTAACATCTCATATTTGTACTGTACATTTGTTGCAACTAATCAACAAATATTTATATATTATTATTAACCAGACTCCATACTTTTTTCAGATTCCTTTAGTTTTCACCTAACACCTGTTTTCTGGATCCACCTAGGGTCTCACATTACATTTATTGGACCTGTCTTATTAGGCTTTTCTTAGTTTAACAGTTCCTCGGACTTCCCTAAAAGAAATCAATGTTCTTTGGAGAAATGACTGATTCTAAGGCTGAGGCAAGAAATATACAAGATGAGCCTGGAGCACCTTATTTTGACAGAAAGTGAGGGAGTGCCCACAAAGAACAACTCTCACGATGACGGAAGCATGCCAGAGGGATACAGGAAGCACATGAAAGAGCTCTCAATGGCCAAAACTGGGACAATATAAGCAATAAAATAAAGCACCATGAATTATAATCCAAAGCATAAAATAAATATCCATATATCCATATTGATATAAATAAATTTTGGATGCATAAGTAAATGAGAAAGACACACATCTCCTATACAGTAGAATCCCAAATAATTTATGTACATACTCCAGTTATAAGGATATAGCACATAAATACACCACCTACTCCTTAAGTATGGGCTGCACTTAGTGACTTCCTTCCAAAGCGGACAGCATGGAAAAGTGGGAATAAAAGATAACTGTATAGTGGAGAAATCTAACAAGTCCTAAATCAGCCAGGTGCTCAAGGTTAAAATCAATAGTAAGTCATGTTGATACTCTATACCCTTAATATGATGAGAATAGCACATCTCCTCTGTAGTCTTCTTTCAAGAAACAAATAATTACAGTCTAATCATGAGAAAAACATCAGAGAAATTCCAGCTGAGGCATATTCTACAAAATGTTTGACTAATAATCCTCAAAACTATCAAGATCTCCAAAAACACGGCAAATTTGGGAAACTGTCACAGCCAAGAGGGCCTAAGGAGATCTGACAACTAAATATAATGTGATGGGATGGGATCTTGGAACAGAAAAAGGACATTAAGGGGATAGCTGAGGAAATGTGAATAAAGAATGGACTTTAGTTCATAAGAGTCTATCAGTATTAATTCATTAATTGTAACAAATGTACCATACAAATGTAAGCTGTTAATAATATGGGAAATTGAGTGTCTGGGACATGTGATACTCTCTGTACTATATTCACCACTCCACTTTTTAACCATAATACTCAAAATTTGTTAAGGTGAAGTAAACAGAGTCGTTCTGGAAAGAAATTTGGCATATATTTCTAGAGCCTTAGAATTACTTTTGCTCTCTGAAACAGTTAATTCACTTTGCAGAATCTATTGATCCCGTTAACAATCAGAAATGATGATATATGTTTATAAAGAAAAAATTTCAACATTAGCAGAATGTTTAAGTAAATTATATATGTACATATAATGATGCACTCATAAAATGTTTATTATGTAATTCTAATTAATAATACACTTAATTATGCACTATTGGGCAACGTAGACAGGATCCCAAATTGTATATACATTGTATACTAACTATATAAAAATGTATTTAAAAGAACAGGTTGTGCCAAAATGTTAGCAGAACATCCCTCTAGGTGGAGGGATTATGGGGGAGGGAGGTAGAGTGACCTCCCCATAAGCTGTCAGCGTACATTTCTTTCTACTAGTCAGACAATAGGAATGAAGGCAGTGCTTTGAGGAAGGTTATCCTCTAAGTTCACCAACCTTGATATGCTTCAGTCTGAAAAGCATCTCTACAACTTGTCTTTCTTTATACTCCATTGAACCATGATGATATCCAATGCCCCGCCGTAACAGACTGTGCAGTTTGTAGCATTGTCTTGTTCCTCTCAGCCTGCGTAAGATCTTCATTAAAGTCTGAAATGCCCAAATAATTTGCCATATCAAATTAAACCGTTTATCTTTCAACTTAACAATGATGTTATGTATTAAAAAATTGTTTAGAAATCAACACAGAATTGGAAACATTTCTAAAAAGACTAGTTGTGTTTTAGTCCAGAAGCCAAGGCCTATTTGAACCATAAAGTGCCTGAAATAGGGTATTTAAGTAAGACAGTTCCATAGTACCTGACTTTAAAAGCTCTATATCTGATACAGGCAAATGCAGTCCAACCTCATATGTGATGATCCTTTCTTCATCCATTTTGTCATTGGGAACATGCACCCCATTTTTCCCCCATATCCACTGATTGGTGGAGACCTAGCCTTGCTCCCAAGGTGTTTAATCACTGTTTATAGATCTAATAGACTGCACTAAGGACTCTAGCTGAGCCTGGGGCAATTAGGAGACACTGAAGGGAAAGGATAAGAATTTTAAGAGGTGAGTGAGGGACCAGAGTGCCCCGAGCCTACTACCCAAACCCATCCCTGTCTAAGCTCTCAGCTTAGTCTGATTTTCAACCACCTTTATTTTGTTCTATTTCTGCTGTTAATTCAAAACTAACTTACTGGGTTTTTTTCTGTTATACCTCCAGTTATATCTGACCAGTGTTGGGTTGGTCTCTCTCTCTCTCCCTCTCCCTTTCTTTGTCTGTGTCTTCCTGTCTTTTTCTGCTTGTTTTCTTTGTGCATGCCACTTCCTGTTTTTCCTCTCTCTCCCTCCTTTTCTCTCTCTTTCTCTCTTTCCTCTTTCCCACTATTTCCTTTCTCTCTCTCTCTCTCTCTCTCTGAAACTCCCTGTGTCTGTTTCTGTGCATTTCTTTCTGGCTCTCTCTCAGTTGCTATTAATTGTTTCTCTGTCTCTTCTCTCTTTCTCTCTCTTCTCTTTTTCTCCCTCCTTTTCTCTCTCTCATTCTGCTTTTCCTCCCACCCCTGAACCCACCTCATAACATAAGGAAAGAAAAAAGCATAAACAAGTAATATACACAGTTCTCTGACTACTACATGAATGATTAGGTCAATCAACAAATATTTTATGAGCACCCATTGTTTAGGGTCTCTATCCATATTCTAGAGTTAAGCTTTTGAATGAGATATGGGGTAAGGGAGAAGTACAAGACAATAATGACTCTACGGTTTCCAGTTTGAAGAACTAAATACATAGTAGATATAGAACAGAGAAGAAAGAATTTTCAGAAGACAGACAAATATGATTTTGAGGTTCTTGTAGTAAGTTGTTGCTTAAGCCAGTAGCTCAGAAAAGAGATTTTTACATTTAATTTGCATGTTTCTATATACATAAAGGAATAGTTATAATTAACTTCAATTAATAAAGGCAATTTCACGAGATAAAAAGGCTTTAGATGTTGGAGTTACACCTTGGCACAAAGCTTCGAGCTGCTTTTAATAGCTATATAAGCTTACATAAGTTACTTAATTTCTCCAGCCTCCAGCTTTAGTCTCGCAAATACTGTTTCAAGATTAATTTAGATTAATTATGTTGTGTGTCTTATCAAAATACAGACACTACATGCACTTTTAGGGGGTTAAAATGTATCCCTTTTAAAATTCACATATCGAAGTCGTAACCCCTAGTACCTCAAGATGTGACCATATTTGGAGATAGGGTCTTTACAAAGGTAATTAAGTTAAAATGAATTCATTGGGGTAGACCCTAATACAGTATGATTAGTGTCCTTATAAGAAGAGGAAATTTGGACACAGACATGTACAAAGGGAGAAACAGAAAAAACGGAAAGAAGATGGCCATCTATAAGCCAAGGAGAGAGACCTGGAACAGATCCTTCCCTCACGGCACTCAGAAGGAATCAACGCTGCTGACACTTGGATCTCAGACTTCTATCCTCCAGAAGTCAGAAAATAAATTTCTGTTGTTTAAACCCACCCAGCCTGTGGTATTTTGTTAAAGCAGCCCTAGCAAACGTATGCACACACCCAAATGTATCTCCATTTCGTTTCTCTTACCTGATTATCCACAGCTGTATGATCAGTATAAGTACACTCAGGAGAAACTTCATTATGCTTCTTAATGTTTTTCTTTATTTCCTTTATTTCAGCCTCCCATAAAATAATTCTTTGAATTCTAGCATTTGAATCTGAGTTTAAAAAACTGAATATAAAATATTAGGAAAGCCAGTAGATATATTGATTATAGCATGCATGTTCTCTTTTTTTTAAGTTTGAGGTTATGTCTATAAATGACAGGTGAAAAGAATGCAAGGGAATTCAAACTCAAAACATAATTATTCCTATTGGAGTATATTCATCAGGCCTTGATTACCTCAATTGCCTGTTTATCAGTTTACCATTTAAGTATATTTTAAATATATGTATTAATATGTATTTAACAGGAAATAGAAAAACCTTCTGCACCTCTCCCATCTTTCAAGACAACAAAATTTTTATTTTCTATATCCAGTGGAATTATATTTTTGACATTAAGTTTGATTTCAAAAGAAACAATTCAATTTTCCTAATAATTGCATCTAAATTCAAATGCTTTATAATAGGAGAAGTATAGAAAATATTTATCTGCCGACTTTCTTCTTTCAAACATACACTGTAATGGATTTTCTATAGGTCACAAAATTAGCCTTGAGATATGTTGGAGCATTTCTTAATCAACAAGTCATTGCTTGGGTGGAATGACATGCAGAGGAAGAGTGATCAGCCTGCTGGGCCATTAGAAGAGGTTTGTATCTACCATCCTGTATGAGAGCAGTTGGCCTCCGGGCCATTGAGGTTTTGGCAGCACACATGTAGGACTGTCACTCTTTCCAGACCCAAACCCACCCTATATGACCACCCGTCTCACAAACACATTAGAAGCAGTCAGAAAAGAATAATTATTGCATTATGGTTACTATTTCTCTCAAGAGTGGGTAAGAACAAATGGTAAAAAATAATCCTGAGTGAGGGTGAGAACTTTGTAGCTATTATCATAACGAATTTTGTTTCCCAGGTTAATATATATGTTAGAATGAAGCAAAAATAACAGAGGCGATACAAATCAAAACTACAATGAGAAACAACCTCACACCCACCAGAATGGCTATTATTAAAAAAGATAAGAAATAACAAGTGTTGGAAAGGACATGGAGAAAAGGGAATCCTCATACTCTGCTGGTGGGAATGCAAACTGGTGCAAGCACTATGGAAAACAGTAGGGAGATTTCTCAAAAAATTAAAAATAGAAATATCATGATCCAGCTACTCCACTACTGGGTATTTATTGAAAGAACATGAAAACACTAATTCAAAAAGATATATGCACCCCTATGTTCATCACAGCATTATCCATAATACCCAAGACTTGGAAACATCCCAGATGCCCATCAACAGATGAATGGAGAAAGATGTGGTATGTATACATGATAGAATACTACTCAGCCATAGAAAAGACAAAATTGTGCCATTTGGGACAACACGAATGGACCTTGAAGGTATTATGCTAAAAGAAGTAAATCAGACAAAGAAAGACAAATATCATATGATTTCACTCATATGTGGAAAATAAACAAACAAACACGTAGGTACAGAGAACAGATTGGTGGTTACCAGAGGGGAAGAAGGTGGCAGGGGGGAGAAAGGAGTAAAGGGGCACAGCACATATGTGGTGACAGATAAAAACTAGATTTATTGATGGTGAATACGATGCAATCTATACAGAAGCTGAAATATAATAACGTACACCTGAAATGTATACAATGTTATTAACCAATGTAACCTCAATAAAATAATTAAAAAGAAAAAAATTTTAATAAATAAGAAGGGCAATTTCTTTTAGTATTTGTCTGGTTTACATTAAGACAATAAAGGAATAAAAATACTAAAATCATGTTTATTGAGTGTTATATTAAAAAACAAATGTGTTAGTGAATTTGTTCTGAATAATTAGGTGTTTGATATTTTAATGGCTATCCTTTGTAAATGGATATAAGCATTCATACACTCCATTTTAAGCAAATTTCCAAACTTACAATTTCTAAAAAACAAATTATAATTTGCCCTTCTGAGATAAAAGAAGGAAGGAAGCTAACATAATCAATAAAATTATTGTAAAATATTGTATAATTATCAAAATACTCAGAAATCCTCTCCTGCACATGCCTGCAAAAGTGAAGTATAATTAAACTAACTTGATGTATCATAAAACAAGAATGAAGTAGTATAGTTACACTATAAAAACAAGTTTGAATTACAAAGACAGCTGAACATTCATATCTCTTATTAAACATTTAATTCCACAATTCCAGTAGAAATACTCACGCAGCATAGTTTCTCTTTTGAGATCTTATTGCTTTCCATAATTTCTTGTTCAAATTTTTCTTCTCTCTTTCAGAAATTGGATTGTTATGAGTATTTCGCTTATTTATCAAATTAGTAAGAAGTCGTGAAGCTGATAATTCCACTGAGTGAATGTTGTATCTAAATTTAAAATATGTGAGAATTTTTGATAATCGCATGCTCATATCAACCTAGACCTGTTTGAATTACTAAATAAAATTTTTGGCAAAAAGAACATTTGTTTGGGCAGTATCGTTCTCTGTCTTCCATTACTTTTTGCCCTTTGGACTCCCAAAGCAGAGTCTGTGTGAATGGGATCAGAATTTTCTAGACAGGTAAATTTTTGAATGATAAATGTGATAAATAAAACAGGTAAGGGCATTTTTTCAGATTAACACTACTCTCTTCCCCATTTTAAAACAATCTGTATATTAACATTTCTGAATATTTATAAAGAATGGACTAGTGTTTTCTGTTGTTGTTATTAGTTAATTCTTTTTCACCTATGAAATGCAGTTTGAGTTAGAAATTCTATTTTGTAGAGATTTCTATGCATATTCTTGTACTTCATCATACTTGGCTTAACTTTTTTATCTTTGCTCAAAATGTTTCCTGTTTACTACTACATAAAATGCAAATTCCTTTTATAGGCATTTGAGATAATTCACAATTTGGTCTGAAATTACCCTTTTAATTATGAAATTGGTATATTTATATACATATGAGGCTTATCATGGGGGTGGGTGGATATATACACATAAATGTGCATAAATTAAAGTCATCTCAAGCCATAGCTATTCTCTCTTTCATATAAACATATATAATATTTATATATGATGTAGATATATGACACATATAAGACGTATATGAGACATATATACAATCTATAAGTTATATATGAGATATACACGTATTATATATATATACAAGATACATATGACAGAGTTAGAGAGAAACATGATATATACATCATGTAAGATTTGCTCATACTCTTTCCTTTGTTGGTTTGTTTTGGAGAAGGTCTTGTTCTGTTTCAAATGGGGTGGAATAAATTACATGTAGGCTCAGTATCCTTCCCCTCTCCTCCCTGTCTAGCATATCTATTCTTTGAGACCCAGCTCCTGTGCAAAAGTGTTTTGGACCACTCCAACCCATTACATTTTATCTTCCTGCTAAACTCCAAAGCATTTAGTGTCTTTATTATGTTTATTTATGTGTATATGTGTGCTAAGTTACATACCCTTGAGGGACAGACTGTGCTTTACAGTTAATAATTTATTGCTTTTTCCTCCTATCTTCCTGGAAGTGACAAATATCTCCTCATATCCACTATAACACCTACAGAATGCCTTGAACACTGAAATGTTTATTAAGTATTTACATACTAACTAGCTATACTATTGAATCTAATTGTTTCAGGGTCATATATATTATCACTCTCCTAATGACTGTCAATTCCTTAAGTACAACTATGCCACAAACTTTTTCCGCATCCCTCCAGAGTCCTTGGTCCAGAACCAAAGAGCAAAGTGAAATGATTTGAATGTGAACTCATTTTGCCCGTACAGATCAATTAAATATTTTGCAAAGAAAAAAATCATTATTTTGAGTATAATGAAAACATGATTGCTAATTATTTGATGAGTCTGCTACTAAGCTCCATCTAACTTTCCTTTAAATGCTTTGAAGGGAAAAATAGAAAGAGAAAACCAGCAAATTGTTTTAAAGCTTTCCTAAAATCTTTTCTTTTTAGTCAGGGGTTTAGATGTAATCATTTTTGCAAACAAGGTACAGAACAAATATTTAGTGTGAGGTCGTATGTGTATGTGTGTATGCATGTGTGTACTAGAGTACGTGCTCTCTTTTGGCAAACACACAATACAGTTTTATCTTTTTTGGCTTATCTTACTTTGATGATATATAGACTTTTTCTAATAACTGAAGGGCCAGAGACTTCTATTGTACTTAACTACACAATCAGATTTTGAAGTAAAATTTAACGAGAGGTTTTCCTACCTCTCATATTATACCCAAGTTGGTATAATAAGTACGGCTTCAACATAATAGAATTAAAATTCTTCAAAATTCTACTAGAATGGCTGAATCAGAAATTCTATATACCTCCTCAACTACTCTTTTCAAAAGTTCTCAATATTCATACAATTTTAAGTAGAATGCTATCTACAGAAAATATTACTTACGAAAAAAATATTGCAGGAAGCCTATCCATTTCTTTAAGTTTTTCCACAAAACAAGGAAACATTCTTCGCTTTTCAGTTTCTGAACTGTCAAAAGTTTGAGGCTTAAGGTACTCCAGTAACTGATTTACCTGAATAAAAATATCATAAGTAAAAGGTAGATGATAAAATATTTGCGATTGTTTAGAATAGGTAAAAAAAAACAGTTAACATTTATAATAGAAAACTGTGTTGACATCCACATCAATGTAAATTATAACACTAATCAAAGCCATATCAAATTGCAAAGAAATTATATCACTAAAAAAGTAAGACTACTGTAAGTTCATCTAGTAAAATAATTGGTATAAGATACTATGTATAACCAGCCCTCTAATTAAAAAAAATAATTTGAAATGAAAATGATATAGCAAGAGAAACAGCTGGCCACATAAATACTCATTGAAAGCAGAATTTAGTTTACCATGACTTGTAATATCAGAGGATGGCTGGTAAAAAGACAAAATTAAGAGATAATTTGATTCATTTACTCATTCAATTTATATCCTATACATGCCTATTGGTTTATAAATAATATTTTTAACAGAATTATCTAAAATAAAAAACAAGAAAAAGAAATGTTTTAAACTAAACTTTTAGGTGGAAAAAGTGTAAAATGACCAAACAAACATTCAATAGATGAGAAGAGGATTTTCATGTTAGGAATAGCACAGCATGTCATAAGGGAAGGAAATATATGGGCTAGTGCCTGCTGGAGAGGGTATCGGATGGAACTAATTGGAGCCTAGAGGTTTGCCACCTCTTAGCAGATGGCAAAGTAAGGGGACTTAGTAAAATTAAATTTGATCTAGGCTGGCATCTATACATCTAAGTGTGTTAAAAGCCAGATAATGGCAATGATAGACCAAAGATTCTCAACTCTGCTTGCACATTAAAATTACCTAGAATGTTGTTATAAAATTCCAGTGCCCCACCTCCATGCAAGGCTGCTGAGATCAGAATTTTTAGAGATAAGACCAAGCTCCCTAGATGATTTTAAAAAGCAGTTAGTGATGAAAACCTCTATTAACATAGTAGTAATTCTTGACATTAGGTAGTTTTCAGACTCACTGATTGGGCAGTCTTCCCAAGTCAATGTGTAATTGAAATTTAAAAAGAAAAAATGGGCTCCTTCCTACATGGAATGAGAAGTTGGGAGGTAGGGATGTATTGAAATCCTGCTTCCATTACTTGAGACGATGCTGATCAAAAAGTGATCACATCTTAACCATGATACAGGGCCCCAAGTGGTCAAAATTATTCGATATTACATGTCAGCATATGTGAACGAGTTCATCCATATTTCTTTCCTTCTAATGGTTCAGTGAATAGTCCTGGGTAACTTTGGGCAAGTGCCACTGCTAATACCATTGAGATATTGTAGTACTCATTTTCAGGAGCTAAAGTATCATTGGGATTTTTTATCACCAGAAAATAGTAAAGTCAAAGAATAGAACTTAAAGTAAATAAGATAAATAATACTTAAAATTTCTCCTATCTATTCAGTTTGTTGGTGACAGAGAGAAGCTGAGCACCTACCTAACCAAACAAGTAAACAGACAAAAGTTCTTCCTTTGGGAAATATTGGAAAAGAGAATCAAGATAATGACCCAGTGGTTTCAAAAATCAGAGAAGTCCTACCTTTTATGAAAAGAAATAGCCCAACCTGGGTTTAACTGTCTGAAACGCAGATTCAAAAAGGACATGGTTCCAGCATGTGTGGGTTGTCCAGGCTAGAGCTCAAGTAATGATTCTTTGCATTTTTCCACGACTAGCTAACTAAATTTAAAGTAGAATTGCAATGCGTGGTAATGGGATATCCATCTTCAAATCCTCGAGAGCTTTATGTGTGATTCCCCTGAACCTAAATGAAAAAGTCAGATTCGTTTTATATTAATCTTTTCTTTAAATAAATCCTAAATGGTTTTAACTACCTTGGTTCGGTCCAGCTGAGTCCAATGAATCACTTCCTTTTTCAGTTCCTCTTCATATTTCTTGGCATCTGCCCTCATGATGACTACCTTATTTTTGAAGCAGCTGAATTCTTCAGGTTCTAACTCCTTGAAAATGGAGAACCACAAATACAAAGAAAAACAGTTACCATCCTTTCTAAAGTTTTCCATATATTCCAATATGAAATAAACCTCTCAAACAGTCAATATCCAACCATATTCAGTTACCAGTTACAGGGTTAACTGCAAATAGACTGACTGTTCTGTTCTCTATCTAATGGTTGCATATTATCCTGTTTTCACTAGAATCTACGAAAATGTAATTTTTTAAATATTGTCTTAGCTTTAGAGATAAAAGAAAATTCCTAACATGTTTACTTTAAACATACGTATTTTTCTTACCATGGCAAGGCACTATTTTAAGCATTTTATAAATAACAATTCAGTTACTCTTCATAATAACCCTACAAAGCAGAAATTATTATCTTTTTGGCAGGTAAAAAGCAAACATATAGAAAATTTAACTAATTTACCCAATTCTGAAATACTGTGGCTCTGGAGTTTATACTCTTAACAATCAGAGATGCTGTACCAGAACAAATACTATTCATGAATTTGCTCATTATTGATGGACTGCCACAGCCAAAGGACTAGAGCTGTCAGTCATAGAATATATATATATATACACACACACCTGCATTCTTGGCCATTCTGGCCAAACATGTACCATAGCATCATAAAGCAGTATGCTTTCCCGAGGAGAAAATCCAAGGTCTAAAGGGATTCCGTATTTCTCTATCTAAAAACCATGAAATACAACATTATTAACTTTATATCCCATATGCATATTTTTAATAATCTGGATACATACTCATTTTCCAAAGTCGTTTATACTTACATGATTGACTGTAAGTGCAGCACATGGGTGATAGTGTTCAATGAGAAAGTCGTTATCTTTTAGAGAACACACATACTTTTCTAGATCATTGTATCGTTCTTTGTACCATACTGTAAATACAGGATTGAAATGATCACTAAGATTTGTTTGCTTTCAAAACAATGATATAACTCTGATTTTACAATTATAAGTAGGCCTAGGGATACCTATGCATGAATCTATAGTCAATAAAACACTAGAAACACTGCTGTGCATTGGGAAGAACCTTGAAAGAGGACTCAACGTACATATACTGTCGATCTGTGCTTTACTTCTCCTGGTCTTAATCTTCAATTATAATCTATCATTGCTTTTCAGTTCCTAGTATTTAATTATGATTTTATAATTTATTTCTCTGCGTATTCTTGTAAAGCATGACTTTCTGTAGTGGGGCATGGGAAAAGTAAATAGATATATAATCATACAATTTTTAATTATAAACATTAGGTTTTACTATTACTATTATTATTATACTATCTCTCTGTCTTTGAGAATAAGATTACCAGGTCACAGAAATAGTCACAGAAATTTGTTTTCTTTTTTCTCTTGTCCATTTTTATTTTAAATCTAGGAAGCTGATATCCCAAATGTCTCTATTAATAAGGCACTAGGATTTATATTTTTCTTAGCACTTACCACTACCTAACATGCTATTTATTTCATTTTATTTTTAAATGTGTTTATTACAAATCTTATTTAATCTCTACATCTACATTAGAATTTAAGCTACATGAAAACAGGGAGTTTGTTTCCTGTTGTATCCCTAGGGACTAAAATGGGGCTTGGCACATATTAGGCACTTTAATATTTGTCAGGTGACAGCATGAATGTCACATGGGGGGATCTGCAGCTTTTGGTTGGAAAATAGCCAGAAAATATGATTTTATACTACTTCAGAGAATTTTCATGAAAATAGTTACATGTAAAAGATATAGCAACATTCATCGATTCAGTAGTTAAATTTTTGTGGTACATTTAAAGTATAAGATATTATGCCATGGATAAAAACAAATATACACATTATATATAATATTGTCTATGTACTTAAAAAAATATATATATAATATGAGTGTTCTCCAAAGAAAATAGGGCATATAAAAATACATTAGACAGTAGAAAATTTCATAATGTAGGATACAGTATGGCACTTGAACTGAAAGGATTAAGGTAGAATTTGAGCTGTGCCTCTAGAAAATATCTTTGAAATAATAGATAAGATTTAGTCAAGTGCAGTGGAAAGGTCACTCCAGAAAAAGAAATGAAAAAGTAAAGGCAAGATATGAGGAAAAATGAATAATCCAAATGTCAAGAAAATTCATGAAAGTGGAATGATAGCATAGAACTAGACCACAAGTGAAACAGGATATTCTGAAGCAAACATTTTTCAGTGAGCCAAAAGTGCCTTCTAAATATGTTTTGGCTTTAACTTTTTCTTACAAAATAGAAAGTGAAACAAATATCCTTGCTATAATTGCATCCTAAACCACACAACATTATGCAGGAATTCCCATTATTTCAAAATAAATAATCTTTGGAAAGAGCTTAATCTCCAAGTTTAATAGAGTCACCATTAGTTAGCTGTGTGGACTTTAGCATGTTACTTAATCTCCAATAGCTAAGTTTCTTACTTATTTTATTTCCTCTATAAATGAAAGTAAAATTGATCTAACTTTCAGAGTTATAGTAAGGACCAAGTTGCTTTGCATATATGAGATGCCCTATTATGTTGCAAGCACATCAAGTGTACTCAATAATTCTGAGTTCCCCTTCTCCGAGGTTAAGATATTCATACCCAGTCTAACTATGTGTGATGACTTTTCTATTCTTTTTCTTTGTTGTTTCTTTGAAGCTTTCAGGGCATTTTGTGATGAACCAGAATTTTCCATTGTGCTCTCAACATGTTGCCAGTATCTTTTAATTAACACCAACCATCTAGTTATTAAAAAAAAGAAAGCATTACTGTCACAGAAAAACAAATCTATAATATCATTTTTTCTAAGAAAAATCATTAAAATTGAGAGTAAAAATCTCTAAACATTGAACATACTAAAATTATCTTTATATTTTACATTATAAAATTACATTTATATTTTAGTTTAGCCTATACACCCACCTAGCGCCCCGATTTTGGCTACTGCTGCCTAGGGGACACCTTTAGATTGCCAGGCTCTGGTGGCCAGTGGAGGTTATGCTTGCAATTCCACAAGACTATATATTTGCATACTTTTAAAAGCAATTTCCTGAGAGTCTGGCTTCTAGCTGCTGGAATTTAGGTGCTGAGATCCTCCCCTTTGGGACACTGACAGGCCTTGGCACATTCTCAACTACTTGGAGGTATCAAAAATATAATACGCTGCTTGGACAAGCACAGAGATTTGAGAGACAACCAAGAGCTGGGGCAGGCTGAATGACAAGATTCATCTCCTACATAAAACCACTCCTTCAAGACTGGGAGAGGTGGTTTGTTTCATCTACTACATAGAAACAACACAGAGAGTCAGTAAAATGAAGAAATATAGGGATATGTCCCAGATGAAAGAACAAATTAAAACGCAGGAAAAAAGTTAATGAAACAGAGATAAATAATTTACTTGATAAAGACTTCAATGTAATCATCATAAAGATCCTCACTGAACTGGGGAAAGAATAGATAAACACAGAGGAAACTTCAACAAAGAGATTGGCAATATAAGAAAGTAGAAAATAGAAGTCACAGAGCTGAAGGATACAATAATTGAACAGAAAAATATAATAGAGGGCTTCAATAGCAGACTAGATGAAGCAGAAGAAAAGATCAGTCAACTAAAAGACTAGGAAGTAGAACTCACCCAACTAGAGAAGCAAAAAGAGAAAGGAAAGAAAAAACGTAAAGACAGCTTAAGGGACTCGTGAGACAACATCAAGTGAACCAACATTCACATTATAGCACTCCCAGATGCAGGAGAGAGAGAGAAAAGAGGAGAAATCTTATTAAAGAGATAATGGCTGAAAACTTCCCTCACATGTGAAAGGAAAGGGACATCCAGATCCAGAAAGCGCAGAAAGTTTCAAATAATATGAAGCAAAAGGGGCCCACACCAAGACATTATAGTTAAAATGTCAAAAGTTAAATACAGAAGAGAATATTAAAAGTAGCAAGGGAAAAACAAATTGTTACATATGAGGACACCCCCATAAGACTGTAAGCAAATTTTTTAACAGAAACTATGCAGGTCAGAAGGGAGTGGCACGATATATTCAAAGTGCTAAAAGAAAAAACTTCCAACCAAGAATACTCTACACAGCAAAGTTATCATTCAGAATTGAAGGGGAGATAGAGTATTCCAGACAAACTAACCTAAGGAATTCATCATCGCTAAACTGACCTTACAAGAAATGTTAAGTAACGCCTTTAAACTGAAAAGAAATGGTGCTAATTAGTAACAAGAACACATATGAAAGAATAAATCTCACTGGAAAGGTAAATATATAGTAAAGGTAGTGAAATAATTACTTATAAAGATAATATGAAGGTTAAAAGAGAAAAATAGTAAAAAATAACCACAATTACAATAATTAGTTAAGGTATTCACAAGATAAAAAGATACAAAATGTGAAATCAAAAACTTAAATGTGGGGAGGGGAGAGTAAAAATTTTGAGCTTTAGAATGGGATCAAACTTAAGTTGTTATCAACTTAAAAATGGATCATTATAGATAGAAGTTGTTATATGTAAGCCTCCTGGTAACCACAAAGCAAAAACCTATAGTATATCCACAAAAGAAAAAGAGAAAGGAACATAAGCATACCAGTAAAGAGAGTGATCAAACCACAAAGGAAGAGACCAAGAGAAGAAAAAAGGAACAGAGAAGAACTATAAAAACAGCCAGAAAGCAATTAACAAAATGGCAATAAGTACATACCTATTGACAATTACTTTAAATATAAATGGAACAAATTCTCTAATCAAAAGATATACAATGGTTGAATGGATTAAGAAAACAAGATCTATACTGCCTAGGAGAGACTCACTTTAGATGTAAGGACATATTCAGACTGAAAGTGAAGGGAGGGAAGAAGATATTCCATGCAAATGGAAACCAAAAGAGAGCTGGAGTAGCAACACTCATATCAGACAAAACAGACTTTAAAACAAAGACCACATAAAGAGACCAAAATAGGCATTACATAAAGATAAAGTGTCAGTCCAATGAGAGGATATAACATTTGTAATGCACCCAAATATTTAAAGCAAATATTAACAGACCCAAAGAGAGAAATAGACAGCAACACAATAATAGTAGGGGACTTTAACACCCCACTTAGATCAATGGATAGGTCATCCAGACAGAAAATCAGTATGAAAACATCAGCCAGATACACTTGACAGGTGTTTACACAGCATTCCATCCAAGAGTAACAAAATACACATTCTTCTCAAGTGCAGATGGAACATTTTCCAGGATAGATCATATGTTAGGGCACAAGACAAGTTACAATAAATTTAAGAGGATTGAAATCATATCAAGCATCTTTTCCAGCCAGAGTGGTATAAAACTAGAAGTTAATTACATGAAGAAAACTGGAAAATTCACAAATATGTGGAGATTAAATAACATGATATGAACAACTAAGGAGTCAAAGAAATCAAAAGAGAAGTTTTTAGAAATGTCTTGAGATAATCAAAAATAGAAATATATCAAAATTTATGCCATGCCGCAAAAGCAGTTCTAAGAGGACAATTCATAGTAATAAATACCTACCTCAAGAAACAAGAAAAGTCTCAAATAAACAACCTAATTTTATAACATGAAGAACTAGAAAAAGAAGAAATGGAACCCAAAGTTAGTAGAAGGAAGGAAACAAAGATTAGAGCAAAAATAAATGAAATAGAGACTAAAAAGACAATAGAAAAGATTGATGAAACTAAGAGCTGGTTCTTTGAAAAGATAATCAAAACTGATAAACTTTTAGTTAGACTCACCAATAAAAAGTTAGAGAAGACTCAAATAAATAAAATCAGAAATGAAATAGGACATGTTACAACTGATATTACAGAAACACAAAGGATCATAAGAGACTACTATGAGCAATTTTACACCAACAAATTGGACAGCATAAGAGAAACGGACAAATTCCTAGAAATATAAAACCCACCAAGACTGATTCATGATGAAATAGAAAATCTGAACAGACCTATTACTACTAAGGTAATCAGTAATCAGTAACCTCCCAACAAACAAAAGTCCAGGACCAGATGGCTTCCCTAGTGAATCCTACCTAACGTTCAAAGAAGAATTAATACCAACGTTTCTCAAATTCTTACAAAAAGTAGAAGAGGAGGGAACCCTTCCAAATTCATTTTCTAAGGCCAGCATTACCCTGATACCAAAACCAGACAAGGATGCTACAGGAAAAGAAAATTACAGGCCAATATTTGTGATGAACATAGGTGCAAAAATACTCAGCAAAATATTAACTGAATTCAACAATACGTTAAAATAATCACACACCACGATCCAGTGGAATTTATTACAAGGATGCAAGAATGGTTCAACATCTGCAAATCAATCAATGTGATATACCACATTAACAAAATGAAGGGTAAAAATCATATTAGCTCAATAGATGCAGAAAATGCATTTGACAAAATTCAAGAACTACTTACAATAAAAACTCTCAACATAGAGGGTATAGAGAGAATGTATTTCAATGTAATAAAGGCCATACATGACAAGCCCACAGCTAGCATCCTGCTCAACAATGAAAAGCTAAAAGTTTTTCCTCTAAGATTAGGAACAAGAGAAAGAGGTCCACCGTCATTACCTTTAAAAACATAGTCCTGAAAGTCTTAGGCAGAGCAATTAGGCAAAAAGAAAAGAAAGAAAGAGAGAGAGAGAGAGAGAGAGAGAGAGAGAGAGAGAGAGAGGGAGAGAAAGAAAAAGAAAGAAAGAAAGAAAGAAAGAAAGAAAGAAAGAAAGAAAGAAAGAAAGAAAGAAAGAAAATGCATCCAAACTGGAAAGGAAGAAATAAAACTGTCATTATGTGCAGATGACATGATATTATATATAGAAAACTCTAAATACTTCATCAAAAAACTGTTAGAAGTAATAAATGAATTCATGAAAGTTGCAGGATACAAATCAATACACAAAAATCTGTTACTTTTCTATACACTAATAATGAAATCTCAGAATTTAAAAATCCTATTTACAATTGCATCAAAAATAATAAAATACCTAGGAATAAATTTAACCAAGGAGGTGAAAGACCTATATATTGAAAACTACAGGATATTAAAGAAAAAAATTGAAGATGACAAAAGTAACTAGAAAGATATTCTGTGCTCATGGATTGGAAGAATCAATATTGTTAAAATGTCCATACTACCCAAAACAATCTACAGATTCAATGTAGATTAAAATCTACATTTTTCTGTGGCAAAAAAAGAAGTCTTTATTGATAAATAGATTATAATATCTATAAATAGAGTGATGGGTTTAAGGGGAATAAAAACTCCAGAAGAATCTCAGTCTCTCTCTACCCCACCTCTCGTTCTCAGCTTCTGTCTTCTTATTGGCCATTTTGGACAACAAGACCTTGGTGGGCATGCAAGGCCTTCTTGGGCCTTGGGGGCTTCTATCTTCCTATCCCAATCAAAATTCCAATGGCATTTTTCAAAGAGATAGAATAAATAATCCTAAAATTTGAATGGAACCACTAAAACCCCAAATAGCCAAAGAAATCTTGAGAAAGAAGAATAAAGCTAGAGGCATCACACTCCCTAATTTCAAACTATAGTACAAAGCTCTAGTATTCAAAACAATATGGTATTGGCATAAAAACAGACACATAGATAAGTGGAACAGAATTGAGAGCCCAGAAATAAACTCAAACATATATGCTCAATTAATTTATGACAAATGAACCAAGAATACACAATGGATAAAGGACTATCTCTTCAATAAATAGTGTTGGGAAATCTGGACAGCCACATGGAAAAGAATGAAACTTGACCACTATCTTACACACAAAAATTAACCCAAAATGGATTTAAGACTTTAACATAACACCTGAAACCATAAAACTCCTGGAAGAAAACATAGATGGTAAGCTCCTTGACGCTGGTCTTGACAATGATTTTTTTTAATCTGACACCAAAAGCAAAAGCAACAAAAGCAAACATAAACAAGCAGGACTACATCAAACTAAAAGGCTTCTACACAGTAAAGGAAACCTTCAACAAAATTAAAAGGTAACTTACTGAATGGGAGGAAATATTTGCAAATCATATATCCAAGAATGAAATGATATCGAAAATATATAAAGAACCCATACACCTCATTAGCAAAAAAACCCCAAACAATCCAATTAAAACATGGGCAGAAGATCTGACTAGATATTTTTCCAAAGCAGATATACAGATGGTCAACAAGTACATGAAAAGAAGCTCAACATCACTAATCATCAGGTAAATGCAAATCAAAACCTCAATTACATAGCACTTCACACCTGTTAGAATGGTTATTATCAAAAAGACAAGAAATAACAAGTGTTACTCAGGAAGTAGAGGAAAGGGAACCTTTGTGTACTGTTGGTTGGAATGTAAATTTGTGCGGCCACTATGGAAAACAGTATGGATATTCCTCAAAAAACTCAAAATAGGGCTACCATAGGATCCAAAATTTCCACTTCTGAGTATTTATCCAAAGAAAACAAAATACTAACTTGAAAAGATATATGCACCCCCATTTTCTTTGCAGCTTTATTTACAATAGCCACAATATGGAAACAATCTAAGTGTCCATCATGGATGAATGGATAAAGCAATTGTGGTATATGTATACAATGGAATATTATTACGCCATAAAAAAGAATGAAATCTTGCAAGTGTTGACAACATGGATACACCTTGAGGGCACTATGCTAAGAGAAAAGCAAATACCATAGAATCTCTTTAATAATGCAATCTAAAAAAAAATTAACCTTAGATAGAGAGAAGAGATCAGTGGTTGCCCGAGGCAGTGGGTGGGGGACATGACAAATGGGTGAACTGCCAGTTTTATTAGTTTAAACAAGTTGTTAATAAAAATGAAAAAAACTCTATTTATAGTCACATAGTTTAATCAATTGTTACTTTTATACAATCACCAAGAATGAATACTTTGAAGTTCCTTATGAAATGCATTGACCCAATATAGCAGTTATATCCATTTCTACTATACGTGTTGACCCATTTTGAAAACGTTTTTTGGTGTTTTGCACAGGAAAGTATCATGCAAAGTATATTGGATGGATAGTTTTAAACTGCTTTATGCTGTTCTCTGAGAATCTAAATATCAAACTATAAACAGGAAAATTAAATCACCCTCACACAACATTCTTCAGGGATCAGGTAAGTATGTAAATTATATCTAGTCAAAAGGATGAGAGGAAATGCTTTCTAGTTAAATATAAACCAACTCAAAGAAAACAAGATTTACTCAAAAGGACTTTTTTGTTTTGTTCTAGAGATTTTTTTTTTTTTTTTTTTTTTTGGTGAGGAAGATTGTCCCTGAGCTAACATCTATGGCAAATCCTCTTCTTTTTGCTGAGGAAGATTGTCACTGAGCTAACATCTGTGCCCATCTTCCTCTATTTTGTATGTAGGACGCCACCACAGCATGGCTTAATCAGCAGTGTGCAGGTCCGTGCCCAGGATACAAACCAGTGAACCCCGGGCCACAGAAGCTGAACGCATGAACTTAACCACTATGCCACCAGGCCAGCCCCTCTTTAGAGATGATTTTAAATAAGCCATGACTGAATAGAAGTACTTACCCATTAATAGTGATAATAATGAATGTAAAATTCAGGCTTACTCAGTGAGATGTTCAGGATTACTGATAGTAGCAGAAAGTGCCAGAAAGGGACACCGAATCATAACAAGTAGATGTTCCCAAACTTCTGCTCCAATTTCTCCCCCAAGACAGTGAACCTGTCAATGTGGTTAAATAGATTTAGTGTAAAATCAGTTACCCTTTTTTCCAAAATGTTAACAGATTGTGCTATCAGAACCTATTACTCCCTTCTCTCCCCACATTCGATAACGTTCATTCACCCACTGACAAACTTAGTCAAACAAACCAACACGAATTTGAGAGGAATTAAAGTGGATTTGAATGTGCCAATAATTGGATTATTTATTAATAGTGTATCAAGAGATGACACTCTATTATGCATTATAATAGCTGAACTAGAATAAAGATTATTACAGGCCATGGTAATAACACTATAAGCAAAAACAAACAAAAGAATACATTTTACAACTCTTATTTATAAACGAAATAATGGCCTAATTACAGATCGTCATAAAAAGATAATAGGATGAAGAAAAATATCTATAAAAATAAAAAATTTACTCATGTGTCACTAATCCCACCACTGCAATACAGACAACAATGCTTATAAAATAAATTAATTTGAAATAAATTGACTACTCCAGGCTTTAGTCTGTAAATGTATGTAGAGCACTTATTCTACACTTGTTAGAAATCTCAAGAATGCCCAAGAGTCCCCTGACTATAAATGGGGCGAGATGAGTGCAGTGACTAGCTCATTCATTGTTATATTTGTCACGATGATATGTGCAGTTAACAATAATATATGAAAGCAAAACAACTTTACATGACTTGATTTTAAATAACTTTTGTAAGGTTCTCAACCAATAATAAACTTTTATATAGTAAAATTAGATCCTTATATATATTATACTCTACGTTTAATAGAATTTTAAAAAATTTTAAAAACCAAATCACTCAATTTCAAAAGTCCAATGCTTATGTTTTGTTTCTGATTTTTACTGAAGAACTTCTCCTTTATGGGTCACTATGAAACAGATACTGTGGAGAGGTAAAAAGAAGTTTTCAAAGAGCTTTTAGTCAAAATAGGAGAAAACGAAAAAGAAAAACACATGTAAAGGACATCAGAAATATATTGATAACAGGCCATTTTAATAAAGTACAATTAGGAGTGTTTGTTTGTTGTGCCAAAGAATGATAAATCAGAGAGGAACGTGGAATTTATAATGATAAAGTGAGCACTTTGTAAGAAACACTTATTAGTATTTTAAGCAAAGATGCAAAAGATAAGATTTAACATAATTTTACATAAACAGTTTGAAGCTTTTTTATTCAGAGTTACACTTGAGAACATTTAATCTTATTTTTTATATTAAGGATAGCTCTGTATGCCAGTGCTGTATTAAAAGCTCAGAAAAGTACTCAGCATTTTAAAAGCATTAAAAGCCCAGAAAATGGAAGTAGGCTGCCTGTGTTCTAATCCTGTCTCTACCACTTAACATGGCATGAATTTGGGAAGCTAATCTCTCTTTGCCTCAATTCAGTAGCCATAATAATAGTACCTACTTCACAGGTTTTTTTTCTGAAGAGTAAGTGGCTTTATAGCTGAAAATCATTTAGAATAAATATCTGTAGTAAACATTAAAATAAAGGTAGCTATTATAATTTTATGCATAGCAATATGTGTAATATAATGATTTACATCCGTCAATCTTTGTATTCTTTTTTAACCTTTATTTTATGGTGAAATATAACATTCAGTAAGTTGTATAAAATGTAGACTTTCATATTAACAAAGAAATGTTCAGATTAACAAAGTAAAGCAAACATCCCCATAAATCAAGATAAATATTTCCAGCACCTCAGAAGTCCATATTACAACAGCATCCTTTCATAGTTGCTATGTTGCTTTTTTAAAATTATGACTTCTGGGGCCAGCCCCATGGCTGAGTGGTTAAGTCTGTGGGCTATGTTCTGGTGGTCCAGGATTTTGCCAGTTCAGATCCTGAGCATGAACCTAGCACCACTTATCAAGCCATGCTGAGGCAGCGTCCCACATAGCAGGACTAGAAGGAGCTACAACTAGAATATACAGCTATGTACTGGGGGGCTTTGGGGAGAATAAAAAAATTTCCCCAATAAAATTATGACTCTCTTTTCATTATACTTCTTCATATAGACATGTGTGTATTCATAAACAATGTATGTTGATTTTGCCAGTTTAATAAGGTTTTGTAATTAGAATTACATGCATGTGTCCTTTTGTGTCTAGCTTCCATTGCTCGATATTACGGTTTTAAGATTATTCTATGTTGTACTCATTTTCATTGCTCTATCTAGTCTCTTGTATGAATGTACCACATTTTGCTTATTATTTCCACTTTGATGGACACTTGAGTTGTTGCTATGAACATTTTATCCATGTCTTCTAGTCCACTTGTGTGGGAGTTTTTTAATTGTCTTATTTTTGAAGATCCTAAATCTTGTTTTCCTAGTTCCTAGATGTATAGCTAGAATTGGAATTCCTTACTCATGAAGCAGTGTCATCTTCATTAGATTTTGTCAAAACAGATTCCAAAGAGGCACCCATCAGCAGGGCATGAGCCTTCTCATCGCTCCACTTCCTTTGCAACACTTAACACTGTCAGATTCTGATTTTTACTGTCTGGTGGATGTATCTCATTGTAATTTTAATTTATATTTTAGTTAAGTTCCTTTTCAGGGGCATATTGAACATTTGGAAATCTCCTTTTGTGAGTGGCTTTTCTCTTAACATTTTAAAGGAAGTTTTTATATATTCTTAATGAGAGTTCTTTGTCAGTTATAAATTACAAAAACCTTCTACTCAGTGGCTTGTCATTTCATTCTCTTAATGATATTTTGATGAATAAAAATTCTTAATTTTATGTAGTCAAATTTGTTCATCTATTTTATTTTCATAGTTTGCGCTTTTTGTGTCTTGTTTAAGAGAATTTTCTGTACTCCTAAGTAATGAAGATATTCTCTTCAGATATTATATTCTAAAGTTTCATTCATTTGCTTTCATATTGGTGCTTTTAAACCATTTGAAATTGATGTCTGGGTATGATGTGAGGAAGTGATCTAATTTTATTTATTGTCCATATAGATTCCCAATTTTTCCAATACTGTTTGCAGTGCCGTGTTTTCCTTAAATAAAATGTCTATGTGTAGTTCTATTTCTAGGCTCTCTGGCCCATTTGTCTATGGACAAATAGATGTTGTCTTGACTACCATAGGTCTATAATAAACCCTGATACTTGGCAGAGCTGGTTTCTTCACCTTGATCTGTTTTGTCAAGTGTGTCTTGACTACTTTTTCCTTTTAGCAATTTCATGTAAATTTCAGAATCAGGCAATCAACTTCTTCCTCCCCCAACACACGCACATACTCATGTATACACACACACATATACACATACTATCATAGGACGGGAAAAAATTCTGATATTTTTGTGATTGCAGTCAATTTATAGAACAATTTGAGGTCATAATAATTAGTGTGTCCAAATTAATCTGTCATAATCATAATCATAATCATAATATTGAATTCTCCAGTACAAAAGCATGGACTATTTCTCCAGGTTCTCTATTCATTTTACTATTGTTTTTTAAAATTCTTTCTAAATATCCCTCAGCAAAGTTTAAAGATTTCTTTATAAAAGTCTTGCATATCTTTTTAAAGACTCATTCCAAAGTATGTCATATATTTTATGCTATTATAAATGCTATTAAAATGCTTTTTTATCTCATTTTCTCACTGAGTGTTGCTGACTTGAAAATTATTTATTAATTTGAATTTCAAAGAATGAAAAATATAAGGACATATTCTTGACCTAAATGTAACCATTCTAGAAATACAAAACAAAAACTATAGTAAAGAATATACATATTTGAAAATTAAGAAATATACTTCTAAATAACCAATGGATCAAAACTAAATAATGATGGAAATTAAAACATATTTTAAACTGAATGATAAATACATGCAATGTTTCAATGTTTCAAAAAGAAACGTTTCAATGTTACTGCTAAAGCAGCGTTATAGGATTAACATATAGTGCTCAATACGTCAATGTATTAGAAAAGAATACATACATGTGTTAGAAAATAACTCAAAATTAATGTTCAAATTACATGTCATCTTCCTAAATTTACAGCTTCCCTATTTTGTTTGCTTGTTTCAGTCTGCTTGCTTGTTTTTTTGCTTATCTGTATTCTGCTTTTTATTTCCTTCCTGGTGGTATTCATCAAACTAATCCTAGCCATAGAATGATGCATTTTTTTAACCAGCAAAAAAGAAAACATGGCTGATGTCAGTCGTCAATGCATCTGGTGATAGGAAAAAGGAAAGTACCCCTTAAAAGACAGTTGGTTCAGTGGGCTAAAATTTCTTTGGCTAAAAAGAAAAAATCTATTACTAAGTAGTCACGATGTGTCCAATGATTTGTGAGATACTCTTTCCCTGCTACTATCACTCTTGACCTAGAATTTTTTCCATTTTTCTTATTTTCAGCTCCTTCCAGATCTATCTTTTACCATCAGCACATAAATTCTACCCCCTCCATAAACTGAATTAACATTTATTTTAATAACTATATGTATAATTGTCATTTTATTAAAATACATGAATTACATATGTTTTTATATACATACAAATATTTAGTTGGGATAATTGTAATGAAAGGTGGCATACCTCATCAAATATGACATATCTCATTCTTTTCACCCATTTTTGATTATGAGGTGATAGCAGGAGTATTTCCAAACACTGAGGCACTGTCACCAATATCTGTTAAAAAAATTAGGGAATCATGGCCTTGATTATCTTAAAAAGCTCAAGTTTTAACTTTTAAACATTAATACAATATTTTGGATGACACAGTATGTTCATACTGATATTTCCATTAAAACAATAATCTCATTTTTGAAAAATAAAACAAATTTGTGTCACAGAGGTATGTTGCTGTTAGTACATTCAAAAAGGGTTAAGTTCAATTCATCAAGAAATAGTCTCCCACATCGTACACTGACAATATGAAATCATCACAACATGAAACCATCGCTATTGAAGGAAGCTACTCCCTCATGTTGAAATTTCAGAAGAGAAAATCGTTCCACTTTGTATAGAAAATATAATTATTTGAAAGTTGACCCAATTCTTATATAAGAAAAATCATATAAATAATCTGCTCAAATATAAATATATCTGTCAGGGTAACTGTAAACTTAGTTTATACTCATATTGAAACCTTGAAGCGCCTACTGAAGTGCCATAGCGTTTGTTATTATTCTTTGTGTGTGCATGTCTGTAACGTACCTGACAATTCAAGGCGTCATGACGGTAATCTCTTGTAAAAGTTCCACACACCACTAATCCTTTTGGCAGTGCTTTGGTAAATAAATTGCAGACAGTTCCCACCACTTGATTAACAAGAGCCTGAAGTCATAAAAGACATAATCTGCTATTCAGTAATTATTGACAGCACTGCAAAATTTGTTTACAGTAGACAAATGTCTGGAACAACTTGCATGCAAAAACGTGCAGTACCAATTTTATATAACTCTTTCTTAGTAAAGGAATTACTTTGCACCAAATGCTTCCTACTGGCTTTAAAGTTTTCCTTAATGTATAATATACAGTGCTTGATGATGTGATAGCTAGAAACAATAAACTAACAACAATCTTGGCCTCATAAATGTGATATATATTTATACAGGTGATGATGATTATTTATTTAAAAATCCAATTGGCTATGCAATGATGAGCATATTATCAAACTTCACTAAGCCTCAGTTTCTTCATCTGTAAAATACGAGGGCTGCAACATGTGATAGAGGTGATCCCTCCCAACACTCGCCTTCTGAATCTCTTCTCTCTGTACATCTTTAAGGCTTGCAGTTAAATATTCTCCTAGGGAAAGTGAGAGGAAAGAATACCCCAAATCCCTTCTAGATGAAGAGAACAATTCTGATTTAGCCACGATCTTCTTGACTTTATTTTACACAGCTTGCTGTAAAGGAAGAAGCCCACAGCACTTGCAATAATCAGGGGTTATTCCACAGGGCATTTGTCCAACCACAGAGGCGGCAAAATTACAAATAGCTGCTCTCCGTCTCTCTTTCTCATGATCTTGTCTACACTCTCTTAAGTCATGTAATCCTGGTACAGTTATCAAATGTTACCCTTTAGCAAAATTCTCAAAAATGTCAAATGCCGTCTTCTAACAAGTGCTGGACCTAGGAAGTTTCAAACAGTAAAATGAATAAAAAATAATTGTGAATGGTACCACTTATTGATCATTGTCTACATCCGAACAATATATTACATGCTTTACATACATCATCTCAATGCTTAGAACAATAGTATGAAGTAAGTGTTATTATCCCTTTTCTGCAGCTGGAGAAACTAAGGTAAGAAACTGGCTCAAGGTCACACAGAACATAAACTCTGAAACTCGTGACTGCAGTGCTGGAGCCTGTACACTGTGGTGCCTCGTAGGATTAAGGACACAAACTATAGTTGAAGGAAATACTGTAAGACATATGGTGTCAGATGGACACATTACCTTTGTTGGAGCAACATATACAACTACCCCTTCATTGCCCTCTCTCAGGATTTTCTCCATGCAGTAGTAAGATGCATAGGTTTTCCCTGATGAGGTCGGAGCAACAATCACAGCAGATTCATTATTATCTACAACATCAAGAAGTTCTCTCTAGATAAAAACAGAACCACATTTCATTTGAAAATACATATTTACTGTCCAATTTTAATTTAATGTCAACTATTTCTAGGGTGAATTAGTATTCACAGTTGCTTCCAAGACACACTAATGTTCGAGACGGCAGTCACTTAAGGGAATCACCGTTTTCTGTTATTTGGAGACAACTAAATTCACATCTCACCTTCTCCTACAAAACACCTCACCTAAACTTAGCTTAAAATATCTAATAAAACAGACATCATCGCAAGGGACCTGCCCAGGACACCATGTAGCCCAGCTCTCTGCATTCTTTTTAGCTTGAGTTGGCTGAACTCAGAATTACCAAAATCTGTCGTTCTTTATATTTTTGTTTTTCTGTTCATGAATTAATGAATAAGGTGTAGAAAAGGACAGATTTTCCAAAGATATGTACATATGTATAATAAGCCACGTATTTATGAATGACTCTGCTGTTTAACATTTGGACAGTCTGAAAGCACCACTACTTTCAACAAACAGTAAACTTGCCAAATATATAGCATCAAACATTAGGCACTATATTTTAGACATGAAATTAAGTGGATGCATATAATAATTATGTAGTGTAATGGTAAAGAGCAGTCCAACCAGAGTTAGAGTGCCTAGTTTTAATCCAGGCACAACCATTTAATAAAACCAATATATTTTCATTTCAACTGCCTCTTTGTTGCATTCCTTTATCTCTTAAGTCAAGACATGATTTATTTTCATTGTCATTACACTGCATTCTATAATGATTTCCATTTCCAAAATTTGTTGCAAACACTGAGATCTAAACCAACTGCTTCCATCAAGTTTCTTCGCTTTCGAAGGCTGCAGATCTTTTCAGTAAATACCTGCCATGTGTCTGGTATAAAATGTTGCACCCTGGGATCTGGATCACTTCTTTCTTCTCGAAATAAGTAAGGTCCCATATACGTTAACTGAAACCGAGCTGCTCCCATGTGAACTGAATATTTAGAAATATCCTTCTCAGTACGTGATTGTGCCACCTAAAATAAGCATTACATATTAGATTTTTGTACCATTTCACAATTTTTAATCTGGGCAAGGAAATTATTATCAATCATATTATAGTTTGCTTTGTTTCAATACGATTATTATTTCATGTTTCTTTCAATATCTTACAAGTCTTAAAACCGTATAACCGGGGCCGGATCGGTGGCCGAGTGATTAAGTTCGCGCACTCCGCTGCGGCCGCCCAGGGTTCGGATCCTGGGCGCGAACATGGTACCGCTCGTCAGGCCACGTTGAGGCGGCGTCCCACATCCCACAGCTAGAAGGACGTGCAACTAAGATATACAACTGTGTACAGGCGGGGTTTGGGGAGATAAAGCAGAAAAAAAAAAGATTGGCAACAGTCGTTAGCTCAGGTGCCAATCTTCAGAAGAAAAAAACAAAAACTGTATAACCTAGTTTCAAAGGAAGTAATCAAAGGAAGGTAACATTTCATTCAGGTTATCAATTCTGATACATGGGAAGTAGACAGGTATTACATCTTTACTGTAATTTTTTAAATGCTATTTTATGTGGCAGTACCATGTTCCATAAGAATATAAGTAAAATGCAATATGAAATTAATATTTTAATTACAAATCAATGTAATCTTTGATAATTGTTAAATATGAACAACTCACACCCACACACAATAAAAACTGTGTTTCCACTGAGGAACCCTTCCCAATCCTAAAAGGGCATCTTTGGTAAAGGAAATATTCTCACAAGCATCTATACTATTAGTACATATTATCTTACAAATTATTTTACTCAAAGAATTCTGGTTAGACAACTCTTATTACTAAGGAACCTAACATCAAAGAAATTCACATGTTTTGTATAGCCTCTATTCTTGAAGTTCTGATAACACTTGATTATGATAATATTAGCAAAGCATGGAAAATGTAAATTTATATGTTGAGGTATTCTGGTTGAGAATCAACTACAAAACACGTTTTGAAATATTGATGGCTTGAAGAAGGAAGAACTTCCATTTAAAAACTGCCATTTTCTGTTAATTTCTTGTTTAAGGAGAAAAGTGTGATAGTAGTTTTGGTCACACGATAGTAAAGCAAATATCCTATTTCAGACCTGGAGCAGTTGGAAACAGTGGGGAGCTAGATTTCTGTCCATTATCATCACCAAGTTTTTCAGTTTTGTTTTTTTTTAAGAGAGAAAGAAATACTTTCCTAGGGCTTGTAAGCTTATTTTAGGAAAATGGTTTCTTCCAATTTCTTGGATCTCTAAAAGAAGTGGGGAAACATAGCTCTTCCTCCGTGGGAAAGAAGCAATATGCTCTTGCAATACGAAGTAGCGATAGAACACCCTGAGAAAGAGATGTCTAGTCCATGCTACGGTTGGATTTGGACTATGACCTCATCTCGTAGTCTGCATCAAGATATTTTTGTGCAGTGTATTTCTATATCCACAAGCTTCAAAAGCCTTGTTAAATATGACAGTTGAATTTTAGTTATGGCACTTGGGTAATCAAGTATAAGGCTTTCCATGCTGGATGCGAAGTATGATGGGGTGAACAAAAATCCCTGGGAAAGTTGGCCTCGAGATCTCTAGAGGGACCCTACAGAATTGTCAAGGAGTGGCCCAAAGTCATCCGAGAATAAGGGAGCATGATGCAGCTAGGAAGGATTTATGGACCCTGTTAGCATTTATCAGGAATAGAGAAACTAGCAAAAGGCCGGATCTATGTGGTGGGTAAGTATGAAGGCTCAGGAGAGTGATACAGCCATTAAAAGAAGGACCAGTTCTGGAGGAAGTGGAAGGCTAATCATGGCTCCTCTTTCTGGCTAGTCATAGTGAGTTGATGTCCTCTCCTTCAATCCCTCCCTTTCCTCTACTAACAGAAAGTGTCTCTACTTTAACAAAACCAAGCAATAGCACAGGTAAAGCTACGCTGTTTCTATATGTACTATCTCTATGGTTCTCAAGTCAGTACTCGGAGAGAGATTTTGACTTAAAAAATATCTTCTCTTCAAACAAATTCTTTTGAAGTAACAACTGAAGACAATTAAATAAGAAATTTAAAGGAGTCAGTATATGTAAGAATATTCAGTAGAAATAATTGTAAGTAAAGTTTTTCTAGGAAAAAACAAAATTAAGTTGATCCATTTCTCTGAGGGTAAATTTTGATTATTTCCATAAGTCTTTAGAAATCTCCCAGATAAATAGACAACACATTTACAGGCAACAATAATATCTACAGGAGAATTCTTTCCTTCCCTTCACCCTTCACTCCTTTCTTTATTCCTTCCTTCTATTTACTGAAGAGATATTTTAAACTTACTGCATAAGGAGCACAGCAAGAAATAAGATAGAGAAAGGCCCTGTGTCTATGGAACTTACTTTCTAATTTTGAGACACAAACAAAAAACAAATGAACAAAACATAAACAAAAAATTCAGATAGTGACATATGCTGTTAAGAAAGAGAAATAAGGAAATTTTTTAGTGACTTCGTAGATAAGGGGAATGGTGGAGGAAATGCTACTTGAGATTGGAAGGTCTCAAGCTGGCCATAAATGTTTCTTTGATAAGATGATACTTCATCTAAAACATTAACAACCAAAGGAGTAAGCCATGCTAAAATCTGAGGGAATAAATGTTCATATACAAGAAATAGCTGAGGCAATACTCAGAGACAAAATGGAATTCTGTTCATTCAACAAACAGAATGGTTGGAAACCAGAAGAGAGAGGTAACCAGAGACCAGCTATGTAGGACCCTAGGGACTTTGGTAAGACTTTATTCTAAGTCCATTTGGGATGATACAAAAAAAAAAATACCGTAAAGTGAATGGTTTTTAAACAGCAAGCATCTGTTTCTCATAGTTTTGGAGGCTGAGAAGTCCAACATCACAGCATCAGCAGATTCAGTGTCTGGAACGAGCCTGCCCCTACATGGCCATCTTCTCACTGTAACCTTACATGGTGAAAGGGTGAGCTAGCTCTCTGGGGTCTCTTTTACAAGGGCACTAACCCCATTAATGAGGGTTCCATCTTCGTGACCTAATCACTTTCCAAAGGCCCCACCTCCAGATACCATCACTCTGGGGGTTAGAATTTCAACATATGAATTTTGAGGGAAGACACAAATATTCAGGCCATAGCACTCCTGGTACAAATGAAACATTTATTCCAGGTAAATACACATCTATAAAAAATATTAGATCTGTGTTTATATAGGATGATACTTAGTAACCATTAATTTAATCTAATATACATTAATTCTAAATGCATTCCATAAAATACTACACACACACATACACACTCATATATATGAATGTCATGTAATATTTTCTATAGCATCTACCTGAGGATATAATGAGTGTGCCAAGTTGTCAAATCCAATATATCTTAGATATTTGGCTAATTTTTGTCGATGTGTATTTTGTAATAGTTCTGAATATTTTTCATGGATTATGTGAATCCTTTTCATCAAGTTAATTATTATGCTTATATCTCTGGATTCTGCTTCTGTTGAGACAAAATATTGACATGCATAACTTAAGTTAGGCAAGATATTGATAACGAAACCCCCAAAGCTGACAATTTTATTGCGGGATTAAAAAAACATTTTTATGTGAATCACTCACAATAATTGAGGAATTCGTAACGACCAGTACTGCATAGCAGTGAGAGTGTTGCCACTTGAGTGAGAGCAGAGTTGCTAGTTTTAGCAAATAAAAATACAGGAGACCCAGTTTGGGATACATATTGCATGGCATATACTTATGCTAAAAAAGTTCATTTTTTATCTGACATTTAAATTCAACTTGTCTGTACTTGACTTAGGAACTTGGAAAGTTACATCTCTAAGCCTCATTTCCTTTTATCTGTAATGGGGATAATAATAATAGGTCTCACTTCCTACAGACATTATAAAGATTAAACAAAATAATCCATGTAAAATGATACAATAATGGCAGCTGTTACTATTCATCATAAGGACTAATATGGAAGAGGGTCTGAATGGACTTTTTTTAAAAAAAGATGACCGTTCCATATTTATACTTTTAATGTTTACTTTCCTGTGACCACACTCAAAAGATAAATATCTTTCATCATCCCTTCAATCAAAAATGTTTATTCTCTTGAGGGCTGGCACAGCAGTTAAGTGCTGCTTCTCAGCAGCCCGGGGTTTGCCAGTTGGGATCCTGGGTGCGGACATGGAACCGCTTGGCATGCCATGCTGTGGGAGGTGTCCCACGTATAAAGTAGAAGAAGATAGGCATGGATGTTAGCTCAGGGCCAGTCTTCCTCAGCAAAAAGAGGAGGATTGGAAGTAGTTAGCTCAGAGCTAATCATCTTAAAAAAAAAAAGTTTATTCTCTTGCCCTCAACATCACAGTTGTGCCGATTCACTAATTATTTAGTTTGTGTGTATACTTTGGAGTAACAATGTTATATTAAAATCCTTGCTCTATCACTGACTTGGGCACATAATTTTTTCTCCTAGAACCTCAAGTTTGTATGAATAATATCCGTACTACCTATATATATATATACATATACATGTATGTTATATATATAGTCTTTCCTCAGTATCATCAGGGGATTGGCTCCAGGACTCCTGCAGATACCAATATCCATGAGTGCTCAAGTCCCTTGTATAAAATGGCATAGTATCTGCATAGAACCTATGACATCCTCCTCTATACTTTAAATCATCTCTGGCTTACTTACATTAGCTAATACAATGTAAATAGTTGTTATACTATTTTTATGTATTGTTTAGGTAATAATGACAATAAAAAAAAGTCTGTACATGTTCCGTACAGAAGCAACCATTGTAGGGCTTTCGTTTTTCAGTTGGTTGAATCTGCGGATGTGGAACCCATGGATACAGAGGACAGACTGTATATTGTTTAGGTTGTGGATACTGTGCGATGCTACAGTTAGTTCAGAATGTGCTTGAGTCCCTTGAGAGACCGATCATTAAACTCCTTGAGACCAGGGCCCCTGTTCTGTTCAGAAGCCCCGTGGGCACAACAAGGTACTCAGCTCATGATTGGCCTTGAAGAACTGTTTGCTGAACTGAATTTCAAACTGAATCCATCCACCAATATCTATCACACACACAAATAACCGTGATGTTATTACTGGATCAAAAAATCTTATTCTTTACACATCATTAGAGTTCCTAAAGTCAGTACAGGACACATGAATCAGAAGCCATGCCCAATCCCAATTCTTTTGCTTTGTTCTAACTGATTTTTTTATTTTAAAAAATTTCTAAGGGGCCAGCCCTGTGGCTGAGTGGTTAAGTTTGTGTGCCCTACTTCGGCAGTCCAGGGTTTCACCCGTTCAGATCCTGGGCACAGACATGGCACCGCTCATCAAGTCACGTTGAAACTGTGTCCCACATAGCAGAGCCAGACGGACCTACAACTAGAATGTACAACTATGTACTGGGGGGCTTTGGGGAGAAGAAGAAGAAGGAAGGAAAAAAAAGAAGATTGGCAACAGATGTTAGCTCAGGTGCCAATCTTTTTAAAAAAATTCTAAAATTAATGTATTTATATACCTGTTTTTAAACAGTATTCCATCCATAATTTGAAACAGGCATCCATTCCTACCATTTCTGCAGTAAATCTTACAGATTTAACAGGACATATTTGTAGAAAATCTTCTAGTCTTTTTATTCCAGATTTAGGACTTTCTTTAATTTCCTTTTCAATATATAGGGACAAGTTATTCCATCGTTCTTCCTCTCTCTTCTCTAGTTTAGCTAGTTGTCTCTTTTGATTTTCTTCAATAAATTTTTCTGCATTTGTCTTCTAAAAAAACAAAGAAATAGAAAACAAATCAACTAAATAATAAAAGCAAATGTTTCCAGAATAATACATTTGATATTTTTGAAGGAAATATTTAAATATCTCAGGCCATTAGTTTACTATTCAGGACATTCAAATAGCACATCAAATAGGACCTTGGAAGTCTCAAATAACTAAATGCAAACATCTGTTTTTTACACAACCACGATCATTTGCCATTCCCTTTCTCTGTCTCCTCAGTTATTATTTCCTTAACCCATTATGCTGAAAACCAGTGTTCTGGCATCTCATGTCCATGGGGTTGGGTCTAAGAAAGACCATTTCTAACTAATATCCAACTGGGACATATATCATTTTTGAGATTAGACCAACTGTGGTATAATCACAAAAACTGTCCTGGAGTGTAGCATGCTGTACTTCATAGAAAAACAAATACGAATTTTGTCCACGGATCCCCAGGAGAAATCTAATAGGTCTGAATGGGGTACAATCAAAGTAGTTATAAAGACTGGCACAATCAGGTTTAAGATTGCAATGTCTGGACTATTGTATGTAATAGAGAATGCTGCCACGGCCAAACACTGTGACAATCCTTCTTGTCCAGATCTCAGGGTGTGTCCTTATTTAGCTCTCCTCCATTCTCTATCTCCTTAATATGGAAACAATGGACCATTTCAAGAATCCCTGTGTACCAGTTAAGTGACGTTAGCTCCTCAGGGGAGTAGCATATCCTAACTAGAGGTTAAAATAGATCCCTGGAAAGTGGGGTATACATGATAACATGTAAATGACATGATAACATCCAGAAAATGAACTTCATTAAGCCAAAAATAGAGGATGAAGAGTAAGAAAATGTTTTCAATATATATGACAAGGAATATTATGTTTTAAATATACATAGCTCTTAGCAATCAATAAGCAAAAGGAAAATACTACAACAATAGTAGAAGATAAAGGACATAAAAGAGAAATTCATAGAAGAAGAAACACAAATGGACTCTAAATTTTGAAAAGATATTCATATCACTGGTATTCAAAGAAATTGAGATTAAGATTCCTTGTTGAGAGAAATTCCAAAAAATAAATAAATAAATAAAACAGGCACTCTCATACACTGATGATGGTTATCACAGCTAAATGGTTAAAAGAGCAAGTTCCAGAGTCCAGCAGACATGGCCACCCACTAACTATGTAAGTGAGCACAGTGTTTTTCACATAAGAGTTTGATAATCAGTAACATATTTTGTTATTATTACTTGTATTAATGTTATAGTAAGAATGGGAATTAGCATAGCCCTCCTAAACGAGAACGTATTGATTTATATCAAAAGCTCTAAAATTTTTCATAGTCTTTAACCCAGCAATTACTTCTCTAAGTAATTAGAAAAGAGTAGAAAGTTTCAGATAAAATTATGTTTATCATAGCACGTTATAATAGTAAAATAATGGAAACGTAATGAACAGTAAGAATAGGAAATGAATGTATTACAAATTATTATTAAAATATTAAAAGGAAAAGTTTATTTCCCGTTCATTGAAATAGAACATTCTCCAAAATATGTTGTTTAAATGGGAAAAATAATAAAACCACATGAAAAATTTTTAATTATATGTAAGTATGCATGTACGTCTGTAAATGTGTATAGCTTGTGTGTACACAAATGTATGTACATACGTTTGTAAATGTGTATAGCATGAAATATTTTGGAAGGATATTCACCAGAAAGTTAATAGAAGCAACTTTTTGGAGGGGCAAAATTTTAGTGATTTTTCTTTTTTTATATACTTTTCTAGATAACAATTTACTGGATGTGCTTGACCTTGATAATCTTTTTTAAAAAACTATTTAAAATTTGGGAAACATTTGGGAAGCTATTATGGAAGTATATTTAATGACACAGAAAAATGTCCAATATGCATTGATAGGTGGGAATATAAGTTAAAAAGATATACTTTTTTGTAAAAAACACACTATATGAATAAAAATGACTGAAAGTTTGTATGTCAAAATGTTAATAGTGATTATCTGTGGTATGTGAGAGTATCAACATTTCCTTTCTCCTTTTTTTTTCTTACCTATTTTTCTATTTTTCAAAAGGGAATGAATTAAACAAATAATAACATGCCATATTATAGAAGATTATAAGTCACAAAATTGTGTCTCAAATGATTTTTAATAATGTGAATGAGAAAATGACTATAAAGAAACTCAGCAAAATGTTAACAGTGCTTAACTCTGTGTGAAGGTCCTATTAGGATTTTGCTTTCTTCATTACACTTTTCTTCATTTTACAAGCATTGTAATGGGAGAATAAATTGTTTTATCTTTTGTAATTTGTGGTTAGTATTTACAGTATACTTGATTTGACAGTTATTAATTCTTTTTTTATAAAAAGTGTTTTGTCTTTAATAACACATGAGACTACTGATGTGTACAATACCAGATATTTCCAATGAGGAGTTCACATGGAGAGTAGAATCTTAGGATCTCCACATGCCTGAGTCATGCTAGATCAAGAAGGTACCTGGTGTTTTCTTTTCTTTTTCCCAGAAGAATTTTCTGGAGGTGGCAGAGCTCTTTCTTGTACAATCCTTACTGATCTGTTACTTCCTATCAAAGATTTTCCAAAGACATGATAAAAATGATGTAATTTCTGTATTTCCCATTTTCCTTTGGCATCTTTGGATTTAGCTGTAGGAAATAAATTATTAAAATATGCTGGTAATGCTATTTATAAATGAGAGTTCCATTCAGAGAGCATTCATGAGAAAGGCTTTGATAAATTCCCTTAGAAATTCACATTAATCTAATTAGAGACATGTTAGAGATTGAGCTATAGAAATTTAAATTATTTGAGCTATGTTTAAATATCATGGAAGGATCTAAAGCAGTGCCTCTTATTTGCATATTCACTTTCTTACAATCTTCTAGGCGTTATGGATATTCCCCACTGAACAAGTCAATGGTAAATTTATGCTTGAATTCCAAGAAGAGAACAAGATTATAAGCTATATTGGTCCAAAATATCCCACTGCCAAAATAATTATTTGAATATTTAAGACTTATTTCACTTAATAAATAGAGTTCTAAACAATATTCTAGAGCAAGTAATTACTATAATTACCAATTGGCGCAAATAATGACATACAATGTGATTAACGAAGGCATTGGGTCTTATAAGATAATACAAGGAAATTTTTAACCCCAAACAACAAAAACTGAAAGAACTTTAATAATAACATGTAAAGTAATTTGTTGTAGCAACCGGAGAAAACTAAAATGCTAAAGATTCTGTCTGGACCAAACAGCTTTTTCCTCCAATAGGTCAATTGGAATCTCAATTTTCAGATTAAAGAAATTAGCTTCTTCCCAGTCCTGCTGTGAAGGTGATGGAAATTTATATAGTGGCAGAGAGAGAGAAGAAGAAGATAAATTACACTTCATTCATCTCAGATGAGTCATTTTTTTCTTATACGTATGACACAATTATTCAATAAATAAGAATGTTGAAAATGTTTGCTAGATATTAGTTATGTTTACCATCACTGCTGCACCTAGTCCTTTCAAAATCATCGCTGAGAGGTCTAGCAGAATGCCAGTGTGTGAGTTCATCAAATTCTCTCTTTTTAGAAAGAGAGAGAACAGCTGGGTCATCACTGAGAAAAAAACAAAAGACATACATTATAATACACATCTAATTTTTTTCTTTTTTAGTTTCTACTCTAAACCATGAACTTACTTAGGTTCTCTGCCTTTAATTTTATAATTATGAATGAGCAAAACACATTTTTTACAAACAATATATCTCTTGACAAAATAGTCTAGAAGCAGGCAAGAACATCTGTGGAATTGTCATCTCTATAATGATTTTTAAAAAGCACATATTGGGGTCAGCCCAGTGCCATAGTGGTTAAGTTCACGTGCTCTGCTTAGGCAGCCTGGGGTTTGTGGGTTCAGATCCCAGGCATGGACTTACACACCACTCATCAAGTCACGCTGCGGTGGTGTCTTACACACAAAAGAGAGGCAGATTGGCACAGATGTTAGCTCAGCAACAATCTTCCTCACGCAAAAAGAGGAAGATTGGCAACAGATGCTACTCAGGGCCAATCTTCCTCGCCACACAAAAAAAGTACATATTAAGACTTTCTTTGTATGGGAGATTGAATTAAGTACCAAATAATAGCCAAGAGTATATAGCCTCACGTACTATAAAGATATTTCTGAAGTTGAGAGACGCTTCTGGATTATTTTTCCTGTTTCTTTGTGTGTATGTGTGTGCACTTGTGAAATGTTTCAAGCATAAAGAAAAGATTAGACAATAAATGACACCTGTGAGCCTACTATTCATTCATCCCAAGATATTCACCGAGTGCCTGCTATGTGCCAGGTACTCATCTAGATGCTGAGAATATGTCAGTAAACAAAACAGACATTAAAAAAGTCTTTGTAGAGTTTATATACTAACAGAGTTATAGACAACAAAGAAATATTAAGGCAAAATATATACTCTGCCAGATGGTGAAAAGCATGATGAAGAAGAATAAAGCAGGAAGACAGGACAGTGAGTTCCGGGAGAAGGAGAAGGTGTGATTTTAAGTATAATGGTCAGGAAAGGCTTTGCTGACAAGATACTGGGACAATGAGTTAAAGGTTGTCTGAGTCAGAACACGTTCAGCAAAGAAAACAGTAAACAGAAAGGCTGCGAGGTGGGTCTGTGATTATTATGTTCAAGAAACACAATAGCTAAGGCATGGAAACAACCTAAATGTTCATCAATGAATGGATTACAAAAATGTGGTGTGTATATATATATATATATATATATATATATATACGCAATGAGATATAATCAGCCATTAAAAAGAAGGAAATCCTGCCATTTGTGACAACATGGATGGAATTTGAGGGCATTGTGCTAAGTGAAATAAGTCAGACAGAGAAACACTAATACTGTATGACCTCATTTATAGTGGAATATAAAATAAAAAGGCCAAGCTCACAGAAGCAGAGGGTAGAATGGTGGTTGTCAGGGGCTGAGGAGTGGGGGAAATGGGAAGATATTTATCAAAGGATACAGATTTTCATGTATAAGATGAATAAGTTCTGGAGATGTAATGCACAGCACAGTGACTATAGTTAACAATACTGTAATATATACTTGAAAGTTGATAATAGAGTAGGTCTTAAATGTTCTCACCACATAAAAAAGAGTTATTATATTTGATGGATGGGTTAACTAACCTTGTTGTGGTGGTCATTTTGCAGTATATACTTGTATCAAATCATCTTATTGTATACCTAAAATTTGCACAATGTTCTATGTCAATTATATCTCGGTAAGGCTGAAAAAAAAAAAACCAGAAAGGAGGCCAGGGGGGACAGAGCAAGAGAGCTTGGGAGAGATGAGTAGGGAACACGGTCAAAGAGGTAAAGAAGAGCAGTAAAGCCCTGTAGTCCTTTTAATCCGAGTGAGTTGAAACTCCTTGGAGGGTTTTGAGCAGAGGAGAGAAATAATCAGATTTTTCACCTGACAGCATCACTCTGGCTGCTATGAGACTATATTGAAGGTGGCAAAGGCAGAAGTAGGAGACCAATTAGGTGGCTACTGTAATAATCAAGAGATGATGGTAGATTGTACAGGGGATGCAGGGTGGGAAGAAGCACGAAAAGGAAACACTCTACCTCTGTACTTTGGAAGAGGAGAAATAAATTTGTATGACAGTTTGAATGTAGTATGAGAAATATAAAGAGAAGTCAAGGATGATTCCAAGAATTCCAGCCTGAGAAACTGTAAGAAAAGAGAAGATGGAGATAGGGAACAGTGAGGGAAGAGCAGCTTCCTGCAAGAAGATCAGGAGTTTGGCATTTACACATTAAGTTTGGGATGTCTTTAAGACATCCAGTTACAATCAGAAGTTCAAAAGATTGACTCAGGATAAAATTTGGGGAATTTTTAGCAAAAAAAAAAAAAGCTGGAGATAAGAATTTAAAACTTGCTAGCAAAAAGTTGATATTTAAAGTCATGACACTGGATGACCAAGGGAAAGATCACTCACTTTGTTAACTGTTAATGATTTTCCAAGTTTTCTTCAGATCTTATTTACCTTAAAGAAATAAAGCATTAAGGATATACTTTAAGCCTCCTGGATACTGCCCAGAAATGCCATTCTTCTCTTTTCTAAAAAGTAATTGTCACCTTGTATTTATCCATGGTATATATCATGTTCGTATCATTACTAAATAGACGCACATAAGTAACAATATGATAAGTACAACATTCTCCAACTTGCTGTGTTGCATTAGCAACGTGATTTTGAGATTCATACATGCTGATGTGTGCGTGCGTGCAGTTTTTTATTTTTACTGTGGGCCATTCCATTGTATTAATATCCCACAATTCATTCTCCTACTGTATCTAGGATATTTAGTTTACTTCTATACAAATAGGACTGAAATGCTCATTAATGCAATTCACCCTTACGCAAATATAGGCGAATTTCTCTAGTTAAATTGCAGGTTGTAGAGAATGCATATCTTGAACTTTACTAGGTTTTATCAATTTCTATTCCCATTGGCAACATGTAAATGATGTTTCCATGGCCTCACTAGTTGTTTCCATTGTCACATATCTTTGGTATCACTTAGTCTTGCAAATTTTACTGAAATAAAGGGTATTAAATAAAATTTAATTGTAGTTTTAATCTTCATTTCCTTGATTAACAGTAAAGTTAAACATCTTTTCATAGTCTTATTGGCTCTTATCACACTTACTTTTTTATTAATTAACTGCTCCTATTCTTTTCCTATTTTCTACTGCCTCATTCATCATTTTCTTATGAATTGTAGGAATTCTTTATACTAATCTTTTACATTAATCCTATGCTGGTTGTATACATTCTAAATATCTTCTCCAAATTTTTTATTACAATATGTAATTTTAATATCAAATGTATTACTTTTTTCTTAATGATTTAAGTTTTATATAGCATTTAAATGCTCTTATATCTCTACCCTGAGGTCATAAAGATATTTTCCTATATTTTCTTCTGCAAGTGTGACTATTGTCTTTCACATTCAGATTTCTATCCACTTGGAATTTATTTTGTTGCATAGTGTCATATAGAGATACTTTCATTTTTAAAAGAAAAATACATATTTTGAAAACATATAACATTTACCGAATAATCTATTATTTTCACAGTCATTTGTCTTGTCATGTCTGCCATATATGCAATTGGTAGGATCACATTTGCTTCCAAGTGCTCCAGTCTCCTTGTGAGACCACCAAAGTCCATGTTTTCCCCACCCTACACGTTCCAGCATTCCTTATCTCCTCATCGTTAACTGCCTGAAAGACCCATCCCTAGAATGATGGTTAATATTTGGACTACCTAAGTAATCTCAGAATTAGTTCCATCAGGCCAGACTCCTCTGTTTATCTCATTCTTTACTCAAAGTCTACACTTATAAGGTCGCCACCATCATTACCAGACTCTAATCATCATGTGAATCTATTTCTTTAACCTCATTATAAACCCTTTCACTGTGTCTTCTGGAACTTAGAGACTGTCTAGCAATTCTCTATATCCATAAACTCTTCTTTGAATGCTCCCTTCACCCAACATTCTCTGAACAAAGCCTGACTCTTCCTTTAGGATCTTTTCTGTTTCCTTTGCCTCCTCCTCAAGTTTGTTAATTTTTTTTTCAATTACTCCTTTACTATTGGGCCTGGAGGCAATTTAATACCCTCCTTGCTCCTCTTTGCTGCTTCAGGACCTCTGTGTCCTTTTTTACCCCATTGAAATATATGACCCTGATATAAGATTGATAGGTGTAGCAAATAAAAATGTAAACAGAAAAATTTGAATTTCAGGTGAACAATAAATGCATTTTAGCGCAAGTGTTCTTCATGCAGCCTTACTCCAGTGTCATGCCCAACAATCCTTCCTTGTTGAGAGAGTTATCCTCCTTGTTACTCTTTCTTTCTCTAAATAGATCAATCTTTCTCCTTACTACTTCTTCTCTCACCATTCTTGATGCTTTCAACATCCACATAGATGATTCACCTCACATCTGTACTTTAATTTTTATATCTTGGCTGCCACCACACCTCAGCCACCCATTCCTTTAGTTGTATCCTTAACGTCATCATACTTATTACAGAGAAAAAGGTAAATGAGATATTCAAAAAAGATATACAAATGTTTTTTAAATCATAATGATCAATCACGTATAAAGTAAAATTCTTATTAAAATTTATGTTCCAATGTGAAATTTTAATCATATGTGTGCAATATATACAACAAATCTAGCTCACTATATTCAGTTTTATATCTATATAGAAATATAGATATCACAAACAGGTAAAGTTTTTCTCGAAATACCTGCTTAGAAAAGGTAGTTCTGACATAATATCTCCAGCATATTCTTCAATAATCTCAGCTTTCAGAGGAATGAGTCCTGATTTATGAATTTCTTGATTTGATCCTGGTAGTATTTAGGAATACAATTAGTATTTGAACACCACACTCTAATAATAATTTACCAATGTGATGTAAGTGTTTCTGGGACAGCAAAGCTAAGCATTTTCATCATTTATTACAAAATACATGGTACTTCAATAGAATTGTTGCAAATCTGGATGTTTAAATTAAATTTATATTCCACATACTGTCACAAATGTAAATCTATTGAGTGAACTGAAGTATAATTCTATTTCAGTTTAAGTTGAATGCACTTGAGAAATAGAGTCAAGAAATCACTATGCAACCCAGAAAAGACAATATTTATTCTGAACCACAGTAAGAAATATGTGTATTTATCCATAGACCAAAGAATATAAGTGATAAAGCTTGTAAGAATTTTCAAAATTTAACCATCAAAGTTAATAAAATGAAATAGTAATAAAATAACTTCTGTATCTTTGATTAATTAAAACAAAGAACCCTTACATTCATAAGCTTCAAATAAAAGTTTTCCACATAAATAGGCTGGTCTAACCTGTCAATCACAATCCCCTGAGGTCTATTTAAATACAAGTTGGTTTCTCCATATGAGCTTTAGCGAAATTTATACTTCTTGTAGAAAATATAGTAAAGCTATTATTACAAGGTGTTCTCTATGCCTGACTATAGAGACAGACAGACCTGGATTCAAATTTTCTCGTTATCATGAATTTGCTATGTGATTTATGCAACTTTCCTGAGAGTTCACCTGTAAAATGACAATACTGTGAGTAGCGCTGTTTTGAAAACCAAATAGGAAAATTCATGTGAAAGGCAAAGCACAATACCTGGCAGGATGGGTACTTAATAAATGTTAGCTTCCTTTCTCATGTCTTCACTTTGAATAAATAAGTAAGAAAACAAACAAAGAAGTTAAAAGGCAAGAAGATATTGCGGTTATGGAAGATAATCAGCAGGACTAACCCTGCAAGAAGGCAAAACTTTAAAAGGTCAAATGTATTTTCTAAACAATGATTATAGTGCTAATCGCTTTCTATCCTAAATGGGGTCAACTTTAAAAAATTGTCAGCACCTCCAGGGGATGTTTCCTTCTGTGTGAGAAATGGTCTGGACGTTGTCCTCAGGGGTATGAGTCCTCCCAGATCACCATCCCCTGAGAATAGTAAGACTGTGTTCCACAGCTTCAGACATTCTTGCTTTAAAGTGTCACCCAATTCCAAATTTAGCCCTGTGTAGAAGAAGAAAATATTTAAATTAGCAATTAAAGTCTGAGTGATAGTCACCATATTTTCCATTTCATGTATATGAATTATTTCACAAGTTTACACCTGTGCGTGTCTTATCTTGCATGCTTAAAACAAAACAGAATAGGTTCTGCCATATTTTCATGTCGTAACAAATGTTATAAGAAAGTAAAAGTATATTTGAACTTAGTTATTGGTATAGCTATGTTTTTCTATCACTAAGAAAACGAAACCAGAGAAGTCAGCCTATGGTTCCAATATGGTGGGTGAAGGAGTCAGAGAGTCGACATCAGGAGTTCTGAAGGTCATGCTGGGGGACGTGGGGCAGGGTTCCCGCACCATTCATGCTCCTTCTTCAGATAACAATCCAACCTGACACTCCTTTTCCATTTCCACAGGAATAACACCTTGTCCAGAATAAGCATCAGCAAAGCTATGGTGTCATTTTATAACCTATGCAAAATATCTGATACATGAAAGATATACCATAAAAGGTAATACCTATCATTGTCTTCTAGGGCTAACTTCTATAGTTTCCTTCAATTTAACCAAAGAATTCTTACAAAAGCCCTCAATGGAACCATTTATCTCTTGTGAAAATGCAAACTTTACATAGAAAATATCTGCCAAGAAAGCTTCCTACGCAACTGTAATTAGTGAATAGCTCATTGTCATTATTTGTCAGATACAATTCTCATCAACACAACAAAAAATGAATAAAAGACCTAACTATTCCGTTATTTAAAACATACCTCTACTGTATTCAATTTCATAATAATAAGCAATATTTTTCCACAAAATATTATCAGTTAAGTCAGGCAGGCCAGTGAAATTCACATTCCAATTATTTCTAGCCTCTAATTGTTTTAGGATGAAAAATTCACATTTCTTTAGCTGGAAAAAAAAGAAAACGAAATGAGAAAGGGGCACATGTTCTAAAGATACAAAATCTTTCCAGAATGTTCATTTCTTACTTAAGCTTCCCTCAACAGGATCTATGCCTCATACTAAGAAAAAGGAACTAGAGCAAATATCATAACACGATGCGTCTGTCCCCCCCTTGACAAAATATATGACTGCATACAAATGACCTCCCTTCTTCATGCTTCAGCTCTTCCAACTGTAAGACAACATGGTTAATCTATACCCCCTAATGTACACTGCAGCTCTAAAACAAAACGGTTCTTTTAAACTCATCACAATCAGGAACTCAATTAATATTACTTCATTGAATCAAAATAATAAAATCAATGTAGAAAAGTAGTGGGTATTCCGTTGTTATTGCTAAAGAGTTTCAGTTAAAAGTTGCTTATGCCGTCATTTCATGAGTTCGGACCTAAATAAAACACAGTCCCACATCAGATGGGATTTCTTAAATATACAGTGGACATGTCACCTGCATGCAGAGTACCATTGTGCTGACAATGACTCGGTGATAAAATCAACAGTGTCCTTTTACAACCACACAGCTATGCTTTAATTTATTGTATTACATGGGTCTCTCAATATCTTACAAAAGCATTGCTTTCGTTTTTTGTAACTTTCACACTGCTCTAAATTTATTGGGAATAATTCTACTCTTAGCAGGCTTAAATTGTAATAGAGATTATATATGTTTTCTTTGCTTAAAGTTGCTGCAAAATTCATCTTTTTTCTTGTGCTAAGGTGTCAACCCAAAATGATATTGCAATAGACCATACAAAATTATTAAACTAGGAAGCTTCCTGCGAAATATGGAAACTAAGATTTTTAAAGTTTCACAACAGCAGACAAATGACTTTTATATTCTTTTTCTGTTTTAGTTAATAATAAATTATAAACATGCAATTTATGTAAATTGTTCATTACTTTAATGCATACATATATATATCAATAATAAGGATTGTTATTTCTTCAAAGAAATTATATCATTATTTGGAATTCTTCAAAGTATGGATTATTTCATATATACTTGAAGTATTTTTTCCTGGTGGGTACTTTTATACATGACAAGACTATTTTTCCTAGAAATATGCTTTGTTTGCTAGTAGCAATTTTTAAGACGTGCACAGAAAAAAAGCAATATCAGAAGAAGCAAAGTATTATGCCTTCTAACTGTTGCCTTATTGAATTTTAAACGTTTATAAATTTCCATGTGGTTCCACTACCATTCTTAGAAACGGTGAAAGTGTGCTGTCCCAAACATGAGTAATGATTCTACTCTTGGCTCTTTGAAACAGAGGTAAACGTTGAAGGAGAACCACAGTAAGGCAGAGCATTCTGCAAAGATCTGCTGCTTCCTTTAGTGTTGGTGGTTTCTTCAAGTCCTAGAAAAAAAAGAATTTAAAAAAATATCAGCCTTCATATAGACATTGTAAAAATTCAGACATGCAATAACAGTATTGTAAAATATTTTACCCATAATTTTCCCATATAATAGATTTTTTAACTTATTTTATTTTAAGAAAACTTTTAATAAGCATATGATTTATTTTTCTAAACAGTACAGCTAGTTATTTTGCCAAGGAATGAAGACTTTTCAAAATACATAGCCCAGGGGCCGGCCCCATGGCCGAGCGGTCAAATCCGCGCTCCTCTGCCGCGGCCCAGGGTTTCGCTGGTTCAGATCCTGGGCACGGACATGGCACTGCTCGTCAGGCCACATTGAGGCAGCGTCCCACATGACACAACTAGTAGGGCGTGCAACTAAGATATACAACTATGTACCGGGGGGATTTGGGGAGATAAAGCAGAAAAAAATAAAATAAAATAAAAATAAAGAAAGAAATAGCCCAGCGTTCAGTGTAGCTAATACTTTCATTTTTTAAAATGATGAAGGATGGTCATCTCTTTGGAGGAATGTCTATTTACAATATATTTACAATATATTTACAAGCTTAAAGCAGCATACAAGGAGGGTGACAAAGCTTCTTGTTGTCGCTTCTGTTCCTATGTGGAAGACCAGGCCTGAGTAGGAGACACGATTGTATACTAAGGCAATGAAATCTAGCAGAATTTTAAAAAAACAAACAAAAACTTGGGTTTGTATCCCAGCTCTGCCACTAATTAACTGTTTGATTCATTCATCTATAAAGCAGAATACAAAGAATGCCTCACATGCCGAAAGGTTGTAAAGATGAATGATAATGTGTATAAGATACCTGGCATTGGCACACTGTAACTCAATAAAAGTTAGCTGCTATTATTAATAGTAACATCGCTGTGACTATTGGCATTCTTAACAGAAAGCATGGGTTCTGAGCAACAGAGTAGATGACTAGTTATCCAGGTTCATCTTGATCACAGCCATAATCATTGCCACCAGCAACACCACTCCCCATTGGTTTTTATAACAACTAAACTTCCTGCGGATGTCAACACCTATGCCTCAAAATTGGCCTGTGAAATTCTCAGCAGCAGTGATGATCAGCTGAGACAAGAATGAAATAGATCCTTATCCTTTGGTCAGAGAAGAAAGAGATAACAAGCTCACTGCAGAAAAAAAAAAAATATCTTAATCTGTTTTACAAAGAGCCCTGCATGCTTTCCTAAGAATATGATCAATATATTTACCTCAATGTTTATTCAGCAAACCTGTGACAAGCACGTATTTTCTGGTTTTGATCAAGTCACACCTACAGCTACTACTCATAAACATTGCCGCATCTTTAAGAGTAACATTAAATAATTAAATTAATTTTTGAAAGAATCCCACCTGTGTGTTATGATTCTCTGTGCATATGTTTAGGTTTTCACAGTCTTCTGCCTCATGTAACATTTTTTTGTAGAGTTTTAGTGTCACAGAGCATGAAATGGAGCAGACAACACTTCTGATATCAGCTCCTTCTGGCCACAGATTCTGAAGCAAGGACAAGGTTTGATGTATCTGCACCAAAAAAAATTTTTTAAAGACCTAGTGATTGATTACAAGACACAAGATTCAAAGCTTAGGTGATATTTAACGCTAGAAAAAGAAGCTACATTTTTCCCATTAATGTTACTAATGCCAGAATGTAATGTTTCAAAAAATTAAAGAAAAATATAAAAGAAATGCCAAAGGAATAAATGAACTGAACAGTTGGAAAATATTTAATGGAAAATGAGAGTGAGGCTGTATCTAACTAGGTTCTAAATGCCATTTTAACATTAGTAACGATTTATTTTCCTGATCTGCATACTCACCAACAAATCTAAACAAGCTGTGCCCAGTTTGCAAGTCTCTGAATGATTAACCTGTAAATTCTTCAGTGTTGTTAGTTCTGACATTTTTCAGTGGCCTTTGAGGCAACTGATATAAATACAATATAGTCGCCTTATGTTCCACAGCTGTCTTCTCATAAATTGATATAGTTGCCTGATGTTCCACAGCTGTCTTATCACTGGTACTAAAAGCATTATCACTACAACCTCTATACTTTGTGGAAAGTTGGAAAGGAGTAAGAAATTGAAAAATTCAGCAAGGTAATTAGACAAGAGCAGGAGGTAGCTGTACAGACTTAAGATAATTTTGTCTGTCTGTGGCAGGATGCCACAGTCTGAACCAAGAAACTTGGCTTCTCCTAAAAAGTTAAGATGCTAATTAGACAAGTAACTTAACCCATCCATTCATTTAAAAATGTTTGCTTAGTGTCTACATACTATGTAGGGTTTGTAAGGATTTTATTCTAAGATTGATAACTAGCAGAGTTTTGAGCAGAGTAATACCATGATATCGGGTTGACATTTTTAAAAGATCACTTTGAATAAATACCATGTAGAAAGTAAATCATAGGAGATCAAGAGCAGAAGCCGAAATACAAGTAGGTTAATGTCCATGCAAAAGATCATAGTCAAGTTAACGTTGTAGGGATGAAGATGGTGTGAAGTCAGCAGATTCAGGATACATAGTGACAAGATCTACTGGCTGTGAGGTACGAAGGAAAGAATGAAGTCAAGGATGTCTCCCAAGTTTTGTCCTAAACAACTACAAGGATAGAGATGCTATTAACTGATATGAAGACTAATGGAATGGGTTTAAGGTAAAGGTCAGTTTAAGCCATGTTAAGTTTGCAATGCCTATTAAAAATCTGCGTGAAGATGTCTAACAGGCTGCTGGATATAAGAGAAACTAAGTATCTTGCTCATAAAGCATATTGACTCTAGAGTCATGTGACCCCCATCACATCACCACATCATATCTAGTCTTCCAAAAAGAATGCTCAATGGAAGGGAAAACAATGTTAAATCGTATGTTTGGAGAAATAAAAAGGGTGAAATAACCATTGACTTAGGTCACCTTCCTCATGAGAGTTTACCAAAAGATCAATTGCTTAACTTCCATTTACAAGCTATATAGATAGTTTTCTTTTCCAGAATACTGAGAAATTCCTGTCTTCTAGGAATACAGTTCCTCAGTGGTACTCCCGTATAGTGTAAGAAAAAAAGTTTGAGATTTTAAAATTATCATAGTAGTTGTCTTCCTCAAATTTTACCGCATATTTTATATAAAATTTTTTGTAGAAAATGTTTAGCGTTTTGTAATCAATAAATTTAGCAAGGCTCCTTCTGCCTCAGTGCTATGCCGCTTGAAGAACACATCCCAAAGATGCTTATTTATATAATCAGTGAGGACATGAATGTGAGTAAAGGAAATGTCTGTCTTCTAGAAGCAACAGTATGTTTCCTAGATGCCGAGCTTTAATTTCCAGATACATGTGTTGTTACCTCTTTCTGCATGTCTCCCAAGTTTAATTTCAAATGACCATAAAGAAATATTCCTGTTCCTTGTGACTTTTGGAAATACTCTATTACGTAGGCATGTAAGGCGTGCCGCAGCTGTTTTTCATGCTACAGAACAAAAACACGTAAGTAAATCTGGTTCAAATAAAAATACACATTGCATATCTCTAGTTAAACTAAATACAAGGTGGAAGATAATGTTCATGATCATTTGGCTACAGAGAAAACAAAAACAAAATCAGTTAATTCAAGTTAAAATGAACTTTTTCTCCTTTTATTTGAACTATTCATTGCTGAGATTATTAGAATATAAAAGAAAAATTAAAAAGCACTTATTTCTAATAAAATCAACCGTTAAGAAAGTCTTAGTAGGAGTATAATTGTTTTATACTAATCTGCTGTCTATTTCAAAAAAGAAAGAAAGGAATAAAATTGTAAGTAATATTCTCAACTCTTAGAATTCATAGCTACCTATTTATAATGGATACAACTATTCAAAACGAGTTGACAAATAAGATGATAAAATATTTTTCTATCATCTACCTTTATTTTAAAAGTGAGAATACAAACGAAAAGCATTCCAGATCATACATATACATACACATATATATGAATATGTATATACAAAATATATACCAAAAAACAGTATACATATAATATGTAGGAGTATACAAATGAGCGAATATGTGTATGTGAATGTGTGTATGTGTCTATACACACATACATGTAGTTTATGTACAAGACACTGACTGAGAATTTCCCACCGTGATCCTGACATGTCCTTGGCCTCTCTGAATTATTCCTCCGCATTGCCTCTTGTACATAAACTTAATCCATACTTTTTCTCCCCACCTCTCAAAATTTCCCGTACAAAGGCTTATCCACAAGAACTTCAACTAAACCTCTCTCGCTCACATCATGTAAAAAATTTTGCCCTCTTTCCTCACTTTGGAATACCCCTTTAGAATCTTATTACGCCGAGAATTTTTGAATAAAGACACGCTATTTGTTCTTCGGCTAATTTTTCTCACATTTACGTTGCTTATTTCTTCTGGGCAATTCAGCCTAACTTACCATTTCAAAAAACAGCCTGTGTGAATAGCAACTTGAGGCACAGTACCCGTAAATTCTTAGGACATCTGACTCTATTCCCGAAGGCTGCACAATACTGATTTTCTTCTGAAGAGCATGAATGATAAAAATGTTTAAAAAGTCTGTTTGACAAGGTGTTATTCCCCTTTCTGAGACAATTAGGAAATATGGGTAACATTGTTGAAGAAATATCTCCCATTCTGGTGACAGACAATTGGAAAATTCTGTATGAATAGTGACGTCAGTATTGTGTTCTAAATGTTGAATCAATATCATACGAAGGGCCTGAAGTTCAGGGTAACTAAAATACATATTTTCTGCATCCTGTGGAAAAAGAAAACCAATGTTAACATTAGAGGTAAAATTAAGAATCTTTCTGAAGATTAGTATTGTGAACAAATTGTTGTATTAACATGACAGGAAGAGTTAAGAATTTCAAGATGATTGAAATATATTTTTCTGCATCTTGTAGAAATGTCAGATAAATACTCATTGCTACTTTCCTATTGTTAATACTTGGTATTATTCTTACTAGCAGACACTTTAATTACAATCTGAAGAAGCAAAATATCTAAAAACGTAATGATGGATCAAATTTTTAAGTGATTGAATATTTTTCCTTAGACTCTATGAAATGAGAATTTTGTAGACTCTACAAAATAAATATGTTGGTTACCTTAAAAAAAACTATTACAAACTTGGCTTCCTTTTGAATGAAATCATGCAGAAATTGTTCCACAATATAGAAGAAGTGAAGAGTTTGTCCTTTCTTGAAGTTCACATTGGAAACACAAGTGATGAATAAGGAATCTCCATCAATCAAAAAGAATTCAGACTCAACAAAGTCTTTCAGTAAGCTTACCATGCTGAATAAAAATATCAAACACATAATACAAAGATTATAATAATATAAGCTTGAGAGAAAACCCCACAGTTCAATTGGATACACAAATTTTCTTCTAATTTAAGAAAAAATTAAGAAAAACTAACTGCAATTTTCCATGATATATAGATAACCCTTTTCCAGGGAATTTCTATTATTCCGTGATAGAATAAACCCTTAGTTAAAGATCTGACTGATTCTATAGTGACATGAAAATTCATTGGTATAAGCATAAATTTATGCAAAAAAGTACATCTCTATATTTTAAATTTAGATACTTACTGTTTTTGCACTTCAAGTATGAAAAATTAAATCACTCATTATCCTGGCTTAATTATATCTATGGAACAATCTCATTTTGCTTTTTAAATTAATATATAGCGAAAGGCTGTGAACTCTTCACCCAATTCAAGAAATAAAAGATTCTTCTATGACTTATGTCTATCCTATGAGCTGTTTCCAAAACTCATCTCCCCATAGGGGCAACCACTGCCTTGAGTTTAGTTTTCATCATTCTTTTGCTTAATTTTTTAAGTTTTTATGACCATAAATGTGTGCTAAATTTTGAATCTTTATTGAAAGAACAACATCTTATATATGTTTTCTAGAATTTACTTTTTAAACTTAATTACCAATTACTATGAAAATTCTTGCATATGGTTACAAGAAGCTATAATTAAATAACTTTAATGCTATATAATATTCAATTATGCCTACATCACAATTTATTCTACATCCTTCTCCTTTCAATGGGCACTTGAATTGTTTCTTTCATTTTTTGCTATTACAAAGTGTGCTACAATGATCATTCTTGTGAATGTTTCCTAATGCACAGGTGAAAATCTAGGGTATAGTCATAAAAATGGAATTATATTCACGTATCGCTTAACAACAGAGAGAGTTTTGAGAAATGCATCATTAGGCAATTTTATCATTGTGTGAACAGCATACAGTGTACCTACACAAACCTAGATAGAATAGCCTACTACACACCTAGGCCATATGGTACTAATCTTATGGGACCTCAGCGTCATATGCAGTCCATTGTTGACTGAAATGACATATGCAGAGCATGACTGTACTGATTTGTACATTATAAAGTAATACCAAATTGTTTTCCAAAGCAATTGTATAGTTATACCTGCATTAGCAGATGTCAGCTATTCAATTTGTCTACATCATTTCCAATACTGGGTGTTGTATAAAACATGAACTATAGACTTTCTTCTAGTTTTTTGGTTTTATTTTTTTGGTCTTTTGGCTAGAATGTGGGGCACTACTACATGCTAGTTTTCAAAAATTAAAAGGCTGCAGAAACATGTTAATTCTGCTGTATATTCTTTCAAAATTTGCTATTTGCATATTCTAATACATGATGTACTGGATCAGACCCTGCAGTCGGATGCCCAGGTTAGAATCCTGGATCCATCACTTACGAGTTCTGAGACTTTAGATTAGTTGCTTATCTATCCAACGCTGCAGTTTCTCAGGATGTAAAGTGAGAAAATTTAAAGCAGCTAATCCTTCTTGTGGTTGTTGTGAGGAGTAATGAGATAAATATGTATAAAATGATTAGAATCAAACTAGGCTTAGGTCATAATGTGTGCTTAAACTGTGCTTATCGTAAATGATGTTTTGGGTTTTTTATTTTGTAACTGTGTACAATTGTGTTATAGGATATCATTCTAAACTATTTTAGAAAATTTGAATGAGGAGATAAACACCATAAGATTTGACTCCATAAATCACTTATGGCAGGATACTTTTTCTTTCTTTATCATTGTGCCTAACATATTAAGAGGCACACAAAAATAACAGTTGAGGGAATGAAATACACATTGGTTTGGTCTATTTGTCCTTGATGATATTACATAATGTTTTGGCATTTGTCAAAACATACAAAAACGATTTTATGAGACTTGCATAATATTTTGACATGGAATACAATGCCAGTTAAATTACTACTTTAGTCTTATGCAATATTAAAAGGCAGTGAATCTTTCCTCCACTTATATCTTTCTTCAAAGCTTTTAGTATCTTATTCCCTGCTACTGAATGAAAGTCGTATACGATAACCCTCCCCAAGAAAATATTTACCTATTTTCAAAAATACTAATCTCTTGCTCCATTGGTAGTTTCTAAATCTATCTATTACTTTTACTGATATATTATTTTGAATAAGTTGTGTTGTACTTACTTCGATTTTGACAGAGTTTTCCAAATCAACAATGAGAGCTTCCTCAGAATTCCCTCACATTCCTTTAATTCTTTAAAAATAAATAACAGTGGTTTAATAGTCAATTTTAAATTAATTTTAAATGACAATTAACTTCTGTTGCTAACTTTAAGTGTATTTATATTTTATACAAGACTGCATATACATGGCTGAAATATTCAGTAAGCATATTAAACGATAAACAGATATGCTAAAAATATGTTTAAAAAGAGAGCATACCTACACTACTTACTGTAAAGAACAATTATTAACAAGATAGGTCAAATCTTACAGTTTTCAAATTGGATTTTTCGTACTCTAAAATAATAAATCCTCAGTTTCAAATGCATTTTAGTGATATACACAAATTATAACAAATCCACAAAGACAAAAATACACCGAAAACTGGAAATTTTCCACTTCCAAAATTAATTTAGATAGGTATCGCTATATAGGTATGTATAGTTATAGATACAGTGTCTATCTTGAAAAGTTCTCTCACTAAAGATAAACCATAAAATGGTAAATTTTGTATTTTTTCCACTCTCCCATATATTTAAAAAAAGAAAAATGGATCTAATTCTTTGAAATAAGTTTCTCTAGCAAACTTCTTGTAATATTCCATGTCCTTGTTGAATGAATCCTATCAGGAAATTAGGATTTGGAAAGAAAAAAAAAGTGTCATCCATTCAGCACATGAGGTCTCAGGAAAAAACAGAAAGAAGTAATATTGAAATTAACCATAGAGGGGCCAGCCCGGAGGCACAGCAGTTAAGTGCACATGTTCTGCTTCTGCTGCCACAGGGTTCACCGATTCGGATCCCTGGTGCGGACATGGCACCACCTGGCAAGCCATGCTGTGGTAGCATCTCACATATAAAGTAGAGGAAGATGGGCACGGATGTTAGCTCCGGGACAGTCTTCCTCAGCAAAAAGAGGAGGATTGGCAGCAGATGTTAACTCAGGGTTAATCTTCCTCAAAAAAAAAAAAAGAAGAAGAAGAAATTAACCATAGATTTTTTGGAAATTTTGTTACAGCATAAGTAGTCTCTCATATTTTTATGATTGATATTAATTAATTGAATCCTCCAGTAACTGTTTCTTCTTCAAAAAGGGTGAATTTTTTGAATAATTGAGGGGTGTTAGGTGTTAATAAAGAATATTTCAATATTATGGGGTCCCTAGACATGCCCATATATTTTGACATGGAATATAATGCCAATTAAACTGTTACTTAGCCAAATTTATTGATAATAGGTGGCTCCTGAATCCTAAGAGCTACTTTGGAATTTATTAACCAAACAGTAAGGCTAAGCTTGGTGTATATTATCATTTTCGTTAAAATTGTACTTATTTAGTTATTTATTGCAATTAACATAGAAGTCTCCAAATGTCTTCATCATTTTATGTCTCTAGAATTTCATAATCTCATTTTATCATTATTATTTGCATATCTGTGCTGACAGAAGCAACCCAACAAGCCAGCATTGTGAATAGTTACAGATTGAAGATTAAAAGACTTTTGTGTGAATAAAGTGCAAGGAAGTTTCCTGCTCCAGGTCTTAAGCTTTGCTTACTAAAAGCCTGCCTAATTGGTTGGAGTTATGTGAAAATATTCGTTTGGAAGAGTATTTTAAAGTTTTATTTCAATTGCATCAATAGTTTTAGGAACACTGTATTTAAGTTGCTTTCTTGTTTTTCCTTTATGTATTTTTATTTTAGTTTATAATTAGGTAAGAAATATTTGAATTTCAGTTTAGGTAAATTATTAATACTTGCTTTGGGTAAGTGTTATTCATACATCATCCAGATGAAAAGCAGGGGGAAAAAATCTAGATAATTTAATCAAGGTAAAAATAAAAGGCAGTTGGTGATTGAGGAACTCTAAATTTCAGTTGATCATTTTTGAGGGGAGGATGATGACGATAATTTGAAAATACAGAAAAGCATGAAGAATAATTAACAAACATCTATGTACCCCAACATTGGAACTGGTAAATGTTAAAACTGCTCATTTGCTTAAAATTCATTTATCAAGGAGAAATAAACATTACAGATACAGTTGAATTCCCGTTCTGCCCGCCACAAAGACAACTAACAACGTGATATTTCTTTGCCATAACTTTATATTACCATTTATAGTATTCTTTTATGTTTCTTTGACTTAAATGGTATCATTCCACATCCTGCTTTCTTCATTCACTTTTAAGATTTTGTGATCTATCCTTGTGGATACACATAGATATAGTGCATTTATTTTAGCAGCTGATAATACTCTACCATATGAGTATATCACTTTTTGTTTTTTAAAGCTGTTCTTTTTTGTTGTTGTTGAGGAGGATTCGTCCTGAACTAATCTCTGTTGCCAATCTTCCTCATTTTTTCCCCTCTCCAAAGCCCCAGTGCATAGTTGTATATTCTAGTTTTAGGTCCTTCTAGTTCTTATGTGAGCTGCTGCCACAGCATAGCCACTGACAGACTAGTGGTGTGGTTCCGCGACCGGGAACTAAATCCAGGCCAATGAAGTGGTGAGAGCACCGAACTTTAACCACTAGGCTATCAGGGCTGGCTCAGTATATCACCTTTTATAAGCAAATGCCATACTGAGAGACATTTAGGTTGATTTGTTTTCTTGTCTTTGTCCTACAAATAATGGCATATTGTACATTATTTTTAACATGTCTCACGGAACATACTCAAGAGAGATTCTCTAAGAGGTAGGAGTTGGAGAGGTAAGCAACTCCACTAGATAATATTCATTTCATCTTCAAAGTATTGATAATGTCAAATTTTAAAATATTAATAATCTGAGAAATGTGTCTCATAGTTCTAATTTATATTACTACCAAGAATGAGTATCTTATACAATATATATCTATTTCTTTTTAACATTCACATTTCCCCTTTGTGATTTGTTTATTTGTGACATTTACCCAATTTTCTATTGGGTTGTCTTTCTCTGGTCAATTTGTATACAATCTTTAGTTTTCCTGGGTAAATGATTCTTATATTTATACATAGATTTATGGTCTTATTCCAGTCTGTTCATTATACTTTAACTCTTCTTGGAATATTTTGTTCCAGAGAAGCTTCTGGGTTTTTTTATTATGATAAAATCTACCAAACTTTTATTTTTTATTTGATTTTTTTTGTCTTATTTAAGAAATCCAGCCCTACCCCAAGATCCTTAAGATATTCCACTGTGGGGTTTTTTTGGAGAGGCAAGATGAAAGAGTAGATTCAGATTGAACATGCATTTAATTTAAAGATTAATTGGGGATAATTGATATATTTATGATATTGAGTGATAATGAGCAAGAACCTAGTATATTCCCAACATTTATTCAGTAAAATTAAGTTCTTCTGTAATGTTTCATAAATATTTCCTCCCTAACATGTTTTGTGAGATTTATTCCTGAGTATATTTTAGTTTGCGCTGCTATTTTGATGGTTTCCTTTCTTTTAATACATTTGCCAATTAGTCATTTCTGGTACTTAGAATCAGTATTAGATTCCATACTGATGGCCATTTCCATTCTAATGGGTGATTAGAATCAATTTTTTTTAAAATGTCAATCTAATATCCCAAAGAAGATTTATCGTATTTGCCAGTTTTGTGTAGATTCTCTTGGACATTTTAGGTAGATTTTCTTCGCTGTTTGGGGTAGAGTATAATAACAATCATTTTCTCTCTCTTCCTTCCCTATTCTCACATTGTTTTTTACTTTTCTGGTGTCATTACATTGACTTGTTAGCAAATACTCTTTCCTGTTTAATGGTAAAACACATAAAGTTTTATCATTATTTTGGTGTTTGATGTAGATTTTAACAGGTTGCTTTTATTAAGTTTAGGAAATTATTTTCTTTGCCTAGTTGGTAAAAAAGTCTAATCATCAGTGAATATTGAAATTTTCTAAATGTTTTCCTGCATCTATTGAAATGACAATATATTCCTGTAATTATTATTATACAGAATTTTATTACAAAAATTTTTATATTGAGATTGCATTAAAACAACCTGGTATTGATATTTTCTTTACTTGCAGTATAATTGTATTTTATGTGTTGTATTTAATTTAGGAATTCATGCTTATCAGACCACTCTTCAAGCTTTTGAGTTAAGTAGAGTCATTTGGACCTACTTTTAAATTCACAGTTCTATAATCAGAATCATGTGAGAATTTTGTTAAAATTTTTGACTCCCAGTCCGTATCCCCAAGGATTTATTGATTCAATCAGACTAATGAAAAGTCTAAGAATCTATGCTAGAGTGGAGTGTAACAGATCTATATTTGACTTAAATAAAATCAACTATACAAACTCATTTAAAAATTTTCAAGCCTATCTTTTTTTTTTTTTTACAATATAGATTCCAAGCAAATCAAACTACGCAATCATGTAGTCAACTAAAGAAAAACAACACAAAATCTTTTCTAATATTCAGGGAAAAAATAGCTGAGGGCATCTATATAGTTGAGAGAGAAAGAGAGAAGGGGGAGGAGGAGGAGAACGAGAAGGAGAAGCAGGAGAAGAAGAAGAAGATGAAATGCCTCACCTGATCTTTCTAAATCACAGTCGCTAACATCTGTAGGTTCAACTTTTGAAGGCTTCTCTTCATTGATTTCAAACTCAGATGGTAATTGCCTAGAAGCTGGTTCTTCTATTACGTCTTCTGAGCTTAGTTGATCTTCTTCCTCAGATTGATCAAATGAGGACAAACTCTCTGTGGTCTCACTGTCATCACAGCTATCACTTTCAATATCGCTTTCACTTTCATTGTTACCTGAGCTTGAGTTTTCATTTGACGTAGTAGATGCAGAAGCCATGATCTATAAAAACAAAGCTACTAATTATCACTTTATTTAAAATCACATATCACAGTATAGTGTACTCCTTTCACAGGAGAAATCAGTTGGATTCCCTCATCTCTCTCTAAATCGCACCAATCTCTAGTTTCCTAATGAGGATAATTTCTCATAATCTTCTCCCCAAACATGTTTGCAGTGAGTTGCTCAAAAGGGAAGGTAGAGGCAAAATACATTCCTGAAAATGTGTATAGGAAAGTCACATACACAAAGACAAAAAATAATGTATGTGCTTAAAAAGAGGATTTGATCTAAGAAAATCAGAACATAGTAAAAATTTCTATATATACCTTAACTTTGGAACGATCTTCATATATAAGTTTCCAGCATTTTAAGTATTACTTTAATTATATTCTTTTTTTTCATAGTTGAGCACATAGTCAACCAGATGACATGGAATTAGCATCCAATTAAAGCTAAAGATTTGCTGGTTTCTGTGTGACCGATGACTTTCACCATTTTCTCAACCAAGTTTATGAAACATGCATTCTCTCGTTGTATCAACATGTGTATTCTTCATTTATCTGTTTTTTTCTAATAGTAAAATATTCCACTGGCAGCATGAAGAAAGAAACTAACAGTGAGGACAGTGCCCTGTTGGCTGGAAGAGAGCATAACTTCATACTTCATCAAAATGTTCAGTCGTCAGCTTATGGAGGAAAGTGTTAAGCGTGGTTCCTCACAACTAAAATTTACAAAGGGTCACTGTATACCTAAGGCAAATAGATGAAACCATAGGTAATATAGGTACTTAGATTCACAGCACAGTTTCATGCAGATAGGGTAATTCTATGTAAATAAACTCCAATCACTGGTAGCAATACTAGTGTCACCAATATATTGTAGTATCACGATCTTTTTAGAAATGATATAACAATCAAATTATATGAAAAGAAACTATAAAGACATCACAGAATTGAATGTTTTATTTTTGTAAATAAAACATCTGAGAGTAATTTGGCTACAATATCTGTCATCCTGCAAAAATGTTAAAATGTGTACTTTTTAGTTTTTATCTATTTTATACTGATTTATAAATTGCTCACTCTAATTTTGTTGGAAAATTCTTACATGCCACTTCAGATCTTTTTAGCCTCACCTGTCTCCAGGGACCTTGGCACTTGTCTTGTTCCAGCCACCACTGTGGCAAACATCTTTGCATGGGCATCAATCAACTTTAGGAGGGAAAAATTCAATAGCATTTTGCCTTTTGTCTACATCATGTCTCTCGCTCCTTTTGGGGGGATTTCCCTGCAGCCACTGAAGCATGAAACACTACATTCATATATGTGCAACCCAAAAGTATGTTTCCCTAAATGTCAAACATTTGGCCAATAGTAGTAGCAATCAGAGCATAAATCCTTCTCCCATCCTTCCATGGATGGCTTGTCCTGAGACACAGAACATTAAGTGACCTCTTGGAAGATTGTACCAGGGGAATGAATTATTAGTTGTGTGTGATACTAAGCAGTGGACAACTCAGCAACACACTCATATTGGTTCTTCCTCTTTCTCTACTTCATTCCTCTTTCTTTTACCTTTGATTTCCTGGGATTACATGCCTCAATAAATTATTAGCACATAATTTTTTGTCTCAGTCTCTGCTTTCTTGGGAACCCAAAGAGAATTCATATCAAGAGTGGCCCCTGAAAGAATATCCTCAGGGTAAGACTTTGAAGTTCGATCATTCCCTGGTGTGATGTCAGTAGTGATCCCATTGCTGGTGTTAAGAGAGGTGCTAATAATCCTGGCATACAGGAGTGTGACAATTACTAAGACTTTCCTCTGTATTTCATTCTAATGAAGTAGAGGTGGGAGGTAAGGCATTGAGAATACTCATTAGTTGTTCCACCTGAAAGTACAGAAACAATGACACTTTTAAGTGTGGAATTATCTTCTAATAATAACATTGGAAAGCTCTCATATAGAAAATGATAGACTGAGGGCAGCCCTCAGTTATATAAAGGCAGGCAATCACATTTATTTTCCTAGCTGTAGTATCTTTACTGAGACAGAAAATAATAGCCTCTGGCACTTGGCATGAGGCTATTAAACTGATAAATGCATTTGTTTTCAATCCTTACCAATAAGGAAGATCAAAAGCAGTTCACATTTGCCTAAGAAGAACACCATTTTTGTCTCAGGGATCTGTTAAATTTCTTGTTCTTTATCATAATATAGTCTGTACTCTAATCAACATGACATTCCAGAGATTATTACGCTGCTTTTCTGTTGATGATATCATGCACTATTAAGATACGTCTTAAGGCTCAATTTCCACCCTCATATATAACTACTCATGCAGCAGACACCTCATTTTTCCACTAATATCGAAAAATGAATTATATTGTTTCTGTTTTGCACGAATTATTTTATCTGTGCTCTAGATTTTGTCTCCTGGACCTTTCTCTAAAGGTTACCTCCCTTTATCCCATTTTCTCCTTCCCTACCTCTCTCTCCTGGCTTTTTTCCCTCAGTGTATAAACATAACCATGTCTTTTCCACCCTAAAATAATCGTCCTGCTATCTCTGTTACACTCATTCAATTTCAGCTCTTTTTTTCACTCTCCTCTGTGACTATTTCAATCCATTATCACGCTGCTCCAAATGTCTAACCAATAACTCTTCATGTTTCTACACATGATCATGCATCATCAAGCTTCTAAGAAGAGAATATAAAGTCTTTATGATTCATCACTAACACTACTATCACCAGCAAAATGCAATAACTGTATAATTGGGCAATCATTTGGTCTCACTGTGCCTCAGTTCCCTTTTCTTTAAAAGAAGAGTCAAAAAAATACTTCCCTGTGGCCAGCCCAGTGGTGTAGTATTTAGGTTCATACACTCCACTTCGGCAGCCTGGGGTTCACTGGCTCGGATCCTAGATGTGGACCTACACACCGCTCATGAAGCCATGCCGTGGCAGCATTCCACATAGAAGAACTAGAAGGACTTACAACTAGGATATACAACTATGTACTGGGGCTTTGGGAGGAAAAAAAAGAGGAATATTGGCAACACATATTAGCTCAGGGCCAATCTGCCTCACCAAAAATATTACTTCCATCAAAAAGCGTTAAATTCTAAATATAAAATATAAAATAAGAAGACGTAAAAGTGTTGACCACTGTGCCATAAATCCTTATACTTTCATCATTTCTTGGTTGTGGCTTTTTTTAGCAAATACAATTTCCCATAAATATACTTTAATTTTGATGAATAATTAATTAATTAATTCATACACTCAATCTGCTTTTATTAGATATTTACTATAGTATAAGACACTATTCTAGGCAACATACTCAAGTCCACTAGCCTTAGGAAGGACACAGTCTAGAAAAAGAGATAAGTTAGCAGATTAATTAAAAGTTAATATGATGGGAGTTGTATTATAGCTAGTAAATGAACCAGGTAGTACGAAAGCATAAAGGAGGGAGTGACTGGGAGAAGTGAATGAGGCTTCTCAAAGGAGATGATCTTTGAACTTGAGCTTGAAGAATTATCAGTTTTTCAGAGAAAGACAGAGTAAAAACATTCTAGAAAAACAGAACAGCATGTTCAGAGACAGGTTCAAGATGGTGGCATAGGAAGATCCTGAACTCACTTCCTCCCATGGACCTAACAAATCTGCAGCTACATATGGAACAATCTCCTCTAAAAAAGACCAGAAAACTAGCTAAAAATCTTCTCCACAGCAAAAAAAAAAAAAGGTCACATGAAAATAGGTAGGCGAGGCAGAGAAATGGTCTCCCCAAAAACCCCACTCCTGGTGCAGCAAACTACAATTGGGAGGGATTTCTTAAAGATGAAGCTTCTCCTTGAGGAGCAAGGGGTTTGTGCCTATTATCAGGGATCCCAACTCTTGGGATCTGCATCAGAGAGACAAGCCTCCAAAATATGCAGCTTTGAACACCAACACGAGAACCGTAGGGTTAAAGGAAAGAAAGATTCTGCTCTTAAACAGCTTGCACACATACTCACCCTGGGACCCAGGACAAAAGCAGTAGTTTGAAAACTGCTCAGACTACATGTGAAGGAGAATCATTTGCCAATCTTACATCATCTGCTGGAGGGGCAAAAACCTGTTGAGACTCTTTCCAGGAACAGAGACATGGGTGGATGCTATTTTTGCACTATCCCCCTACATTGCTAGGGTCAGCATTGGTAAGTGCCATTTTTGCACTCTCTCATAATCTGCTAGTGCCAGTGCCCTCCACAGCTGGCAGACAGCCCCTCTTCCCTGAGTCACCACAGCAGTCCTGGGCCTGGCAAGTGCCCACTCCCCTGTGCCACCACTGCAGCCCCACCAGATTCTGTGGGCACAGGCTGCCCACAAAGGGAATGCTCCATGAACACCTGATGGCTGGGAGAGATTGTATTTCTGGGTCTCATGGGTCTGAAACAATTGAAGAGACAGTTCTTGGCAGGCTACCATCCCCAGGATATAGCATAAAGAGCAGACTGAAACACAACTCCAATCTTCCTGGGAAAAAAGTCCTATTTACTTATCCTGGAGCCCCAGTCTGAGGAGTAGAATGCAGGTTTACCACTCATTTAGAGGCTACAGAAAGTGAGACAGAAGAAGCCACCTTTGCACTTTCCCTTGGCCTCACTACAGCTTGCCAGCACCTCCCAGAAAGGAGCTCATACACTTGTCTGGAGCCTCAATTTTAGCAAAAGTCACTAAAAGAAACCTCCAGATCACCTGGTCTGGAGGCCAACAGGGTCTATGATTGTTGTCCCACAGGACTGAATATATTTGCATGCCTTAAAAGCTGCTGCCTGAGAGTCTAGTTTCCAATCATCCTGAAACTAGGTGCTGACTGAGATCTGACCTTCTAGAAAACTCACAGGTCTTGACACACCCTCAACAACTAGGACCTATCAAGAAAAATCAGGCTGTCTAAAAAACTAAAAAGGCTCAAGAGATAACCAAAATTTAGAGCAAGGTTAAACAATAC